GGAAAGAAGGTCGGGCTGGGGCTTCCCTGGAGGAGATTACCTAAGTGGGCGATGGGCGGCCCACATCGGACCCCGGCGGCTCCCCGGATGCGATCGCAGATTTGCGTCGATTTGATTGCGATTCACTTTGGGCGGGAAAAACGGGGGTGGATCCTCTATGGCAGGCATCCCTCCACTCACAGCCCGTTGTTTTCTTGCTACCCGTACCATACCTAAGGAAGTACGCCCCTACCTAAGGTAGGTACTACGCACCTTCCACAGGGCACGCCGCACACCACAGTGGAAGTCGCCACCATACCTAGCTTTACCTCAAGGCAAGTGCCTACCCGACAAGAGAGAAACACGACAGGACGGAGCGAAGGAAGGACCATGCTGTAAAATGCCTCACGACGTGCGTTCCTTCCCTTAACTTACCGGGCTCACCTCGTACCTTAATTCTGCCTGCCTTGAGGTACCAAGACGCACTCCCGAATGGATACTTCGTTCCAAATTCCCCAAGGTTCAAGGTTGGGATGCCACCTCATCCTTCAACAACAGCCCTGACTGTCTCTCCAGCTGCCAGACTAAGCTACATCCGCGAAATGTTCGTCCCATTTTCGCATCTCACGACTCGTGTGTGGCGTGATATTTCCAACTCCCGTCATCGTCAACGTCTTAGCGGGCTTCATCTCTCCCATGCTCCAGCAGGAGCCCAGGCTTCTTTCTACACTGTAAACCATGGCTTCCAGGTTCCTAGCCATGCATCGCTGTTCACTCAAAGGGCCTACCTTACCCGTCACGTAGTATGCATACTGCACAGTACCTAAGTGCCTTATGCTACAAATCCACGCACCCTATCTTTTACCTTTCTGCCGCTTGCTCAAACCAAGGTAGGTAAGGTAGATTGGCCCATCGTACCTAGTCATATCGTGCTCGGGCATCCCGTGCTTGCTGGATCGTGGGGTAAGCTTTGTCGACTCAGATCCTCAAGTCGCACCATTTCTGAGCACCTCTTACACAAATTACGAACTTTCTCTCTGAACTTGAAGGGTCATACTTCACCAATGTTGCCCGCTCTATTGCAGGGTCTGAAACTCTTATCGTTCTGGAACCGAGTCTTCAGGAGCAATGCGCCCGTTGCGGATTGGCCGGCCCCGTCACGATCTCCCGGTCTCCAGCCAACCTGTAGGAATGAGTGAGCTGTTGAATGATCGAATGTTGTTGCCCACTCCCGTCCCCCTCACTCGGGCACTTGATGGATGATGGGTAAAATCTACAGACCACCCAAGCTTGTATCTGCAATGTACCTGTCGACTAAGTCTCCATGCCATGCGAGATCAGGCACAATGCTCCACCTCGGTCAGAGCCTTCCCAAACCAATGACATCCCATAACGCGGCCTTTTCCCTGCCGATGAAGACGAGGAAGGAGACACTAGAGCTCCACTCCGGGCCCGAGGCAGAGGTTAAGGTACATTGCCCGTACCTGGTCAAGTCACAATCTTATGTTCTTCCTGTCTGCCCCGTCGCTGCCTCCAACCCTCTTCCCGCCTGCTGACCAACGGCCAGCAACAGATGACAACCTTCCTGGAAGTTCTAGTCCCTCTTTTCCTTTCTTTGCCGACCGCAACTGCAAGATCGGCCCCTCACCTGCGGTGACAGTGGGGCTCTCCAAAGCGAGCGCGACCCGATCTTTGGGTTCGTATCGTGCATATTGCCTGTCAACCATCTGACCGACTGTTTAGGATTCCGGAATTGTTGCCATCGCTTCGTCCTCACTCGCTCTCGTGTCTAACGTCGTCCCCAACTCCTCTCCACCCCCTTCCAACGACAAGTTTCGATCCATCCAACATACATACCAGGGTCATTATCCAATCTCTCAAGCCTCTCGTGTCGGCCCCATACACTCCGCTTATTGTCTGCGTCCGCCCGAGGAACTTCGAACACGTCAGAGCGCCCTTTCTACAGAGTACATACACCCCTCAGAAGTCTTGTTCGGGGCACACAAAGACATTGAGAAATGCTCGGACGAGTTACTGGGGGCCGATCTCAATGACGGCAGTTGCTGCAGAGCAGAATGGAAATGGAAATTACAGCCAACGACCGCAGCAATATCTACGCCTAATTTGCACACTTCACTTTCCCATCTGACACCAAAGCATTTTGGGAAATCACTTCGTCGCCCGGCCAGGTCTAGCCCAAGCCATACACCAAGACAACGTCCGTTGCCCGTTGATCTCTGCCATGGCGCAAAGCTCCGTGCCTTTCCCCCGCCACGTGGGTTCCCCAAGCCCTGAACGCAGATAAGCTATGCTACTGAGATCTTCGGATCTGGGCCCGGCCCATTTCTCTCCCTGATCCATACCAATAACCAGCCGCAATACTTCGTCGATGTGCGGTAATGCCGGGTGGTATAATGTACACAGTATGAGTCTCGAGACCTTCTCTCCCCTATCGCTTCCACCTGCCAGACCCCAGCTGGCCACGGATTCCTTGCAAATGGCCGCGGATGGCGTTCCTCTCCGCTACCTAGGCCGTAGAGCAGGGACACAACGACGACAACGGGCAGGCAATAGAGTGTGTAGGTAGAAGGACAGTGTTCCCCTCCCCCTTCAAACACGCTGACTCGGACCACATGGGTCTGGACAGAGACATAGAGAATGCCATGCCACAGCCCAGGTCCCTGGCCGCCACCTGCTCTCCTAGCCTCTGGACCTTGCCTGGCTTGTCTAGACGGCACCACCATTGTCCATATTCGACTCGGCGTCTAAACCTTCGCGCTTCTCCATGGACGACATCGTACGATTCTCATATTGCTTCGAGCTTTCCCCCTTCACTTCGCCATGCTTTCCGGCCTAGATCCCTCACCTAGTCCACCGATTTGCTCCGGCTTCCCACGCTCCATCCCGCATGGTCACCGGGTCCAGATCTGGTTGGATCTCACCAAACGATCTGACACCCGTGTGTCTGCGCATGGGTGCGTTTCTATCCGTCTCTGGCCGCGCTACCGCCCAACCGGCTCGCCAATCTCCAAGCATCAACTTGTCACATCTGACGGCCTGGGCGTGTATCGACCTCGTACCGTGCGCCAATGGTCTCGGTGGGCATCATCACAACCAGCCTTTGGTGACCCGTCACAAAGTTCACAATACCGTTCCTACGGCCGTTCGCCATGCCCGTCCGCTGCCGCTGCCAAACATCCACAGCACATGGCGATCCAGCAGCCAATACGAATATTCAAAGTCGGCTAGTGGTCGCAGCACCGCCTCGCGTTGCTGAACCAGTCCCAAATTGCTCACAATCCCGTGCGCGGGAAACTAGCTTCTGCCTCATCAATAGCGTGGTCCGTAAAGACTTCGCATCGCACGTCCAGCTCAGCCTGCTACGTCATGACGGTCCAGCAATCGAACCATGGCGTCTCGCGTCGATCAAGTCCGCTTGCGGTTGCCACCTCCAGGCCGCCTCAGCCTGCCCACACGATTCCCACGCGACATGTCAGAGTGATGGCCTTTCCGAACGCAGCGATGTGGCTATATCGAAAGCGAGGCTGTTGTGAGAGCGCCGCGTGCTCTCCCTACCTCATTAAATGCAGTGGCGGCGACGCTATCAGTGTAGGAACGTAAGGAAATGAGCCACTGTTGGCTTCTCAAGTTCTGGACTGTACTTCCATGCATGACCGTTCAGCCTGCGTCTCATTCGCTCGGAGACTCTTCAACGTAGTAAGGGATCGAGGACAACAGTGGAATCCTTCCAGATTATCTGTGGTGCTGGCTTCGATCTTCGGTCCTAAACCCAGAGGCTGCGGTCCGCTAGTCCTGCCACATCAATCGGCAGAGCTCAAACCGCCAAGCTGAGATGCACAGTTGCACACGACCTCTCCTCAAAGGCTCCAAGTGACAGATCGCGGCTTGGCTCTGGTTTGATGAGAATGCCCGAACCCCCCTTGTATGATGCTCAGCTTCTTGACGCTGTGCTGTGGAAAACTGCACCGTGCCAGCACACCTCACTGCTGGTGCGTCGACCTATTGTCTCACGACACGGGGCTGATATGGCTCGATCTGGAGAAACGGGCAGCCGACAGCATATCAAACTAGACACAGACAGCAGCCTGCCTGCCTCCCCAGTGGCAACTTAGTTGGCCATCCACGGAGGAATGCCATCTTGAGATCACCTAAAATTTGCCGGCGAAATAGGCGGGCAACCAGAGGGGATCATCCGCTTTCGAACGAGCCGGCTTCAAACCGTCAACGCCATAGCGTCCTGTCATTCAACTAACCTCGTTGCATGCCATGGCAAACTCTCCCCAACCGAATTGCCGGTGCAACTATTCCTGCCACAGGATCGCACTTGTTTGGCGTGCGCCATGGTCGAGATCCAAGACATGTCCTGGCGGTTCAGCAAGCTCATCCGGCCCAACTGATGGAGCGCGCTGTGGCTCGCGCCTTTTCGAGAAAACATCACACCAACCACCCCGTGTCGATTTCATTTTCGGGTTTGGCGTCTGGCTTGCTCACAGGGCAAGCAAGCAAAGCCAGTATACGACACGCCTCTCTCCACACACCCACCCCCCTTTAGTTTCCAGATTACCGGCTTCCCGGGTCATCCCTTCCCTGGAAACTGGAAACGGGAAATTCCATCAGCATGCGCCATTCCAATTTCTCCATCATGAACTTACGGCCGGTCCCAGCTTTCCGGAACATTGCCATGCGGCTTGGAAGCCAAGGGCTGTGGAATTGCCGCGCAGCCTCGAATCAAGAGGCTACAGGAAAAATGAACTCGTCATGTGGAAGCCCGATAACTGTCTCACCTTCGAGACGCCTCGGGAGTGTAGGAACACGTTCACGCAGGCATCTCATTTTCCAGTAGATCGAAAAGAATACCGCCACGGGTTCTAAGTCATTATGGGAATCCCTGGCTTCCTACTAGTCTAGCCCTCTGCGGGAGGGAGACAAACAAAGCTTCCGCTGGAGAAAGACGGGAAGTGTGCCAGGTTCCTGCTTCCACAGGAGCCATGAATTCGATGCCTTCAGTCAGGCTAGGGAAGCCGAGCAGCCTGATGATGCACCTACATTGGGCTGGGACCTGTGGTCTGTCACTCGATCCAAGATCGTGGACCACCTCAAATTTCACTTGGTCTTGGATCTTGGATCGACGACGCAGGATCAGAATGAGACATGTTCGCAACCGACTACGCATTTGGCTTAATCAGTTACTCCCACGCTGGCATCGTTGTTGGTCCATGGTTCACGCCTACGGCCGACATCTCTCACGCTCTCTCAATCCCCTTCGCATACAAGATACGTCATGATGGAACTTGCCATTGCTGTCTTAATATATGCTTTTTGAGTCTATGAGTTCATTACGTGCACGAAAATCCTATCCAAGGCGCCGCCGAATGCGAGCTTGCATGTGGCTGATGACATCGAGACCCTACTCTGCTCCCTCCTATTCACTTCCTTCACCCCCTGGCCTTCGGGATGTCGCCTTCCTATTCTTTGCTTTTTTGAACCCGATGCCTCGGTCGTGACAGCGTTTCCATGTCTCCGTAGTACTAGTGATTCAACCACCCTACGTACCTTACCGACCTACGTACGTGGATGCCGCATCTAAGCCTGTTCAGAAGCCTTCCTCTTCCTCGCGGAGACCTCCGGCTGCTGCTGCTGTTCACCGCTACCGCCGCCGCCGCAGCCCCGGCGGAAGTTGCCGAGCAGCTTCGGCAGGCCGTGGATATCCAGCCCGGCGAACCCGGCTCCAGCCGTCTCGCGCTCGCCGATGGCGACGACGGCGGCGATGATGTCCTTTTGCACGTCCTCGCCCACGGCGCTGTCGTGCTTGTAGCCCGGGTGGACGTCGACGAGGTTGCGGAGCCAGCGGGCGGCGGTGTCGAGCTGGCCCGAGGCGCGCTGGCTGATGAGGCGGAGGTAGGTGTCGAGTTCGCAGCGGGTCTGGACGTCGACGTTTACGCTGTCGAGGTAGGATTCCACGAGGGGGATCAGGCCCGGGAAGCCGTCCGAGGAGTCCGGGTTGCTGCCGTTGATGATGTCGTTGACTGTCATTTCGGCGTATTCGTCTTCGACGGGGCCGACGGGGGTCGGTGGGCGGCTGGGGACTGCGGAGCCGGGGTGGGAGCCCGGTCTGCTCGAGGTGGCGGCGTCGTCGCCCTGGGTGAAGTTGTTGACGCGGACCTGGCGGCTGGGGAAGGGGTTTCTGCGGAAGAAGAACTTCTCCTTGAGGACCGCGTCGACGGCGTGTGCGCGCTCCATGTTCTCGTCGACTTTGGTGATGGGGATGTAAAAGTTGAGGTCGAAGGAGAGGATGGCGCGGGTGACGAGGACCATGAACACCGAGAAGGCGGCGTTCTCGAAGTCGGTGAGCTGGATCTCCATGGGGCGGAACTCGACGCGCCAGCCGATGGAGTTGTCTGCGGGCGGGGGCTTGAAGCGCATGTGCTGCCAGTTTGTGGACTGGAGGTTCTCGAAGTGGTCCGTCTTGGAGAGGTCGAGCTCCTGGAGGTCCTCTTCGAAGACGACGATGGGGTCGCGGATGAAGAGGTGGGCGAAGTGGGTGGCGAGGCGGTCGTCCATGCCGCCGTCCATGAGTTTGGACTTGATGGACTCGTCGATGACGAGGTTCGGGTCGAGGTATTCCTGGCGGAGGCGCGGGTCTGTGGAGATGTAGGTTGAGTTTGAGGCGTAGCGGGATTTGGGGATGCGCCAGCGGTCGTTTTTCAGGGGCTGCGTTGGGGTGTTAGCATGTCTTCACTTGAGGTTGTTTATACACATATATATATCTTGATGTATGTGTAAACATTCATGGTGTGAGATGAGAGGGAGTGAAGAGAGTGATGGTAGATGTGAGTGAGTGGATAGTTCAGCTTGTGCTCTTCTGTAATATCTCACCTTTTCTCCGAGTTCCTCAGGGGTTCTGCAGTCCACGGCCCGGCTGATCTGATTCCACCTCACGTCGGTGTTGGCCAAGAATCCCTTATACACGGGCGTGGCGGCCGTCAGGGCGAGCATGATGGGCCCCAGCGGGCTCAGCTGGTCGTACATCTTGCGGCCCTCGGTGATGTTCTTGGCCTGGAAGGTAATCTGCAGACAGCAGCTGCCCATGCCGAACGCCATGGCGTCCATGTGAATAAAGTTGTCCGGGGCGGCGCCGCCGTCGCGGACGTCGTCGTCCTCGGGCCAGTTGTGGAGGTCGCGGTTGACGGTGGGATCCTTCCAGGGGTTGGGCGTGTTGGTGTCGTGGAAGACGGGGACGTTGACCTGGACCTTGCGGCCGCGGCGCCAGCGGATGTTGGCGGCGAGGGTGGGGAAGCGGATGTGCGGGTTGGCGATCTCGTCGGGCACGAACTGGGAGCGGAGCTTGGGGCCCGAGGGAGGGTAGTAGGGTTCCGTGAAGTCGCCCGGGCAGCCGATGCGGGGGAAGGTTGTGAGGGTGATGGGGTACTCGTTGCTGTGCATGTGGTCCTTTGCGATCTTGCGGCGGAGCTTCATGTCGGGCTCGACGTCGAGGAGTTCCTTGAAGCCGATGCCCCAGGGTTTGCCGGGGGTGGCTTCGAGCATGAAGCGGCCGAATTCCGGGTGGAAGACGGGGAGGGTTACCGATCTGTGGTTTGGGGGTTAGCATGACCGAGGCAAGGCTCTTCTTCTGCTCTCGATGCATTGCGCCATGAATCGGCTCATGTGGCGGACATTGGCGGATAACAGAGAAGGAAAGAGGGTGAACATACGACTGTTCCCTGGCGACTTCCTGCAGCTCTGGTACGCAGCCTCCCTCCTTTGCGAGATCCGGGCTCTCGGCGAGTGCTGTGAGAATCTCGGCTTGTCTAAGAGACAGGCGGACCTTGGGCTCATCCTTTGAGTAGGTTACGACCAAGTACTCGACCTTTCGTGAACATTGTCAGCTCTCGGACTCTCATCTCTCGCAGTTGCTGGGGGGTGCCGTCAGAGCATGAGACGCTGGCACTCATGCATGAGGCAGCAGAGCATCATCTCTCACGACAGTGTTCACATACCTCATCTCCCCAGAGCATAGCATCGCGCTCTTTACTCTTGGCCTTGTTCCATATCTCCAGGAGTTGCTAATCCAACCAAAAGAAACTTAGGTCAGCAACACTTTCATGACCCTGAGCATCAACAACAGCCTCGTGCTAAGTCGTTTCATAGTGAGAGGCAGAGAGACAGAGAGAGGCGCTCGAACCTTGATACCCCACTCGCGGACCTGATCCGCACTCTTCTTGGCCTCTGGCCAGTCGAGAGGGGTTCCCAGTGCTCTACGTTGAAAAGTGTTAGAGGAGACTGCATCATTGGACTATCTGTAATAGAATAGTGGGAGCGAGTGAGGTAAAAACTTGCAGGAGACCCATGGTTTGTGGTGATGTTTGGCTACGGCTTTTTCTTGGTGGTTTGTTTTGGGAGGAGCTGCGGCTACGGCCGGGTTTGGCCGGTGATCGGCGTTTTGGACGATGACGGAGTTATGAGAACAAAACGGCCCGAGAAAACTAAGGTAGGAAATTCCGCGCGCCGGCCGCAAATGTTTGGGGTGATAAGTTGCGATAAGAAGGGTCCGATATTAGAGTGCTTGGTATAATCAAGTCGGAGAGCATCTACTGTACACCAACTCTCTACAGCTCCACGAGTGGTGAGACACAGAGACGTTGCCCGGTATGGAGGGGTTTTTCTGATAAGACGTCAGACCAGGCTGATTGTCGTTTTTTTCTTCCTTCCCTTTCCCTGCAGGCTCACAATGCAAGGGTCCCGAGCGGGAAAACAAGGCGGAACTGTTCGAAGCGGGATGACGGCGCTTCGTCAAAAGGGTGGGAACGTCTTTTCTTCAATGGTTTGTTTTCTCTTCCTTGCGATTGCGCAATTGGTCTCGGCAAGCCGAATGGGAGAGGCCCTTGTCGTCCGTCTGTAGTCCAATTGGTAAATGTTGGTGGTCGATTTTTGGTCTGTAGGCGCAGCGTTTGACTGCGGCTCAGCCCGATAGGCGGCGGGGGGGGTCGTCTGGGTAGGTTGTCAAAGATTCCCGTAGCTTGCGGTTATTTATCCAATCACAGGCAGGTGCCTTCAAATCACGTCAACGAAAATTGGAAAAGAGGAGAATGGGATTGGGTGGTGGAGGGTGGGAAAAGTCAAGAGAAAAAAGGTTCATGGTCTGGAATCTTGGGCACCCGAGAAATTAAGGTATGGTAAATGCGCCGCGGAAGGGCGCGAGCAATGTCCAGTTGATTTGCGGCTTTGGTGGGGGTGGTTTGTCAGTTTTTTTTTCCCTTTCTCTAGCGTTGTGAGACTTTTTCCTTGCGCGGTTACGCCGACGATGGACGATGGAGGGGTAGAGGTACGGAGGGGGTTGATTAGAAATCACATGCGTTGCTTAGTTGGACGGTTGGGGGTTACAGACTTGTCATGTTTCGATTTTTTTCTCTCTCTCCTGCGCGCGCCCTATTCGGTTCTTGGTTTCCTATCTTAGCCCATTCATTACCATTGTGCGTGGGGTTTTGGTATTTAAGTAGATTATCCCCCGGAATGACCGAGTCGGAAAAAGTGCGACAGCAGCGAGGGGTATCAGACTTTGATATGGAGAAGTCTCGGTGGTTGTCCGGCGTTCTGGGGAAATGGACGTCTCACAACGCTGCAGTTGTTGAATTGCATGCCGACATATCTTCGGTCTTTGGTTACCTCTCCCAAAATGCGCCTTCCGCGGGCGGCTACTTTGAATAACGTCAGCCTATTTGTTCTTGTAGACGCCCATCGGCCTTTGGGCAAGGTCCGGGACTTCTTCAGTCCCGTCAACAAGTGGATATATCGCAGATCGAATGTGGGGTAGCAGCAAAGGTATTGAAGAACAGACACAAGAAACAACTTCTATTAAAAAGGTTTGAGGTAATGTATTTATCATAGGAGCTTGAGCTGGATTAAGCATGGAATTGGGATTATAATCTTAGCAACTTCATCTTATCATGCTCACTTCGCCTATGTTTACTTGACCTAAAGCTCTCGGCTCGCCGCCCGAAAGGTGGGCATATTCAACTTCGGCTTCGGGCCCGGTTCGGAAGGTCAACCCGGGGCAAGACTTTCCTCATCCAGACGTTCATAGAATGACATATTGCCGGTTTGTCCTGCTTCTCGCGAGGCTTCACGGAATGTACAACCTCTAGCAATGTTTCCTCGTTTTAGTATCAAATTTGAAGTCCCAAGATTCACGTCAACAAGAAACACAGACTTGAGGTTCGCCGATTAATGGTTTATTTTTCCCTCCCTTTTGGAGTATAATACAAACTTCCCAGGAAAAACGATGTGTAAAGGAAAGGAGAAAAAAAAAGTTCGCGAGAGCAATAAGCAAAGCTGCCGAACCCAAGCCGTACCCCGGTTCCGGTCCCGGTTCCTCTCTGTCTCAGAGAAAACGCGTTACCTCGTTCCGTATATGCAGTTTCTTCCCAGCGCCCTCTTTCATCGAACCGTCAAACTTGTATATCTCTCTTTTAGCCGACGAGATATGGCGCCTCGAACTCGATCCGCCCCTATGATTCCTTCTCCAATGCCAGAAAGGCCATCTTTGGCTGCCGCAGAGACTCCTAGCGCGAGTAAGGATGGAATCCCCTGTTGCTGCTACGTCCACCACCGCGGTAGTTAGCGCCGGGTCTGCCCGCGTTCTTGGGTCCTGTAGGCGCGTTGGCAGGCGGGGCATGCGCAGGATCGGGTGATCCCTGATGGGAGCCACCACTGTGAGAGCCACCACGATGGCCGCCTCTGAAGCCTCCCCGGCCGCCCTGGTTCGGTTGGGGAACGTCGTCGTACATGCCCTCCCACGATGTCGGAGCACCGCCACCACCGCCCATGGCATATGCGCCAGCCTGGTTGTACTGGTCACGGGGAGCACCTCCGCCGCCGCTGCTGCCTCCCCGACGCGGTCCTTGTCCGCCGCCGGGCTGCTGCGGCGGCTGGCCTCCCTGAGATGGGTCGAACATTTGCTGCTGAGGGCTGAAGCTACCGCTCGGTCCAGATGGGGGACCGCCCTGCTGGCCCATCTGCTGCTGCATCTGCTGTTGCATTTGCTGCATCTGCTGCATCATTTGAGGCGTCATCTGGCCCATCATGCCTTGCTGGCCGTTGCCGCCTCCACCGCGGCCCATCATCTGGTTCTGCATCTGCTGCATCTGCTGCATTTGCATCATCTGCTGCATCATGGCCGGATTCATGGGGCCCATGCCTCTGCTCATAGCCATTTGTTGCTGCATCATGGCGAAATATTGCTGCATGCGCTGGAAGTATTGTGCCATAACTTGGGGCGTCATGCCCCCTGCGGCACCCATCTGGCCGCCTCCCATCCCGCCCTGTCCACCCTGGGCACCGTCTTCGCCCTTCCTGAATTTCCCTCCCCGTCGTGCGGCTTCTTCTTCTTCGCGAAGGTTGCCACGCGGCTGAGCCTTCTTGACCTCAATCGGCTTGCCGTGAATCTCGAGACTGGTGCTGAGGCAGGCATCAACGCCGGCCTCGCTTTCAAATGTGACGAAGCCGAAACCGCGAGGGCGGCCGGTGTCCTTGTCCATCATCAGGGTCGCGTCCACCACACGGCCGAATTGGGCGAAATAGTCCTTGAACTCTTGATCGGTCGTATCTTGACTAACACCACCGACGAAGATCTTGCTGGTCTTTTCTTGCTCGTCGCGAGGAATTGCTCGCTTGGGATCAATCTGATTGCCATTAGTGTCCAGCTTGAATTGCAATTGGCTTAGGAGAATCTTACGATCTTGCCATCCAAAAAGTGTTCCTTGACCATAACGATGTTCACCGTCTTGGCGTCCCTGAACGTCAGGAAGCCAAAGCCTCTTGATCGCCCGGTGCTGCTGTCTCTCATGACGGTGCACTCAACAACCTCGCCGAATTGAGAGAAGTAGTCCCTTAGGGATTCTAGCAGGTATTAGAAAATGGCGCCATAGAAGCGGACGCAACGTAGACTTACGATCAGTCGTCTCCCAATTAAGGCCACCAATGAACATCTTGCTACAGACATGAAAACATTAGTCAATGACTCGACTCAAAATTCAGAACTCTGAAAGAGAAATGCATGCGACTATGATCGCGTTCTGGGCAGTGGAAGCATTATCCGGACATGGAGACAAGGACCAATGGCCAATAAGAGTTCCCGCCGTATGGCTACATCAGAGCAGTCATCCTTGAGACCATGAGTTGGCCGAGTCGTCTGTCGCCCATCGATTTCCCCCTCTTCAAAATACGGGCTGCCTGGCTTGTAACAGCCAGAGATCGCATTTCTTGGCGTTGGTGTATTGGTATTTTGATCGATGTCTGTCATAACATGCTCCTTGACGGGTACCCCCTCGCGGCCAGCGGCAGATTCAGACAGCAATCCGTTGTTGAAGAATCATCATAGAAGTGACGTGCATGGGTTGGTTTCCATCAGCATCGGTGCCTTTGTGAAAAGGCCGAGGATTTCAGGTTCCAGCCGCAGCCAAAATGATTGTTGAGGGCGAGCAGCGCTAGCCAGCCACAAAAACTCTCTCACGTCTGGGGAGAATTGCGGAGCGGATAGCCTGGTCATTGTCGAATTTTTCGTGTCTTTTGCTATCGTCAAGTCTCTGCTAGCTCTAGCTTCGAGCGCTATCCGCTGCTAATCTTGCTACAGCAGCCAAAGACCGCAGGATGTTCTCTCTGCGACTGGGCTATAGAAGGTGCACGAGGGTGCTCCTGATCTGACTGACTGATGACTGACTATCGTCGGCATATCTCGGTGATCTCAGGCTGCTTTTCCAGCTGACTTTTTGCGCGGTACCTCTTTATGGCTTCTCTTTCTTGCTTTTCTTCAAGCTTCTCATGTCTTCTCTGATGTTTTCCTTGGCCTGCTTGATGGCCCTGAAGAATGTTTCCCAAAACGTGGCTGGCCAACGTCTTGTATCGATGCCCTCTCTTGTCCATCCAAGTTCCCAAGACCAAGAAGGCCCAATACGAGTAACCATGGGGCAACTGATGCCCGTGTTCCCTCAAACTGCAGCAAAAGTGCTTCAGATTAATCCAGTCGAGGTATGCGTCCCAACTATGGGTGCATGGGGAATGGTTTGTGTAGCAAGTGCAAAAAATCACGTAGTTGGCAAACAAAACTTACCCGTCTTCCTTGGCACTCGGGTTCTTGGCCGTGCTTGTCGAGTACGTGGGTTCTTCTTGCTTGTTGCCAGCAAACCCATTCGAGGGCGGCGCATAACCAGTGCTTCCACCACCACCGCCGCCGCCGCCATCACCACCTAGGTTGAAGTCTACTTCATCATCGTCATCCTCTTCTTCGTACTTCATTTGATCATCACCACCACCGCCACCATATTCCGGCTCAGACTGAGGAGGCGGTTCGGCATGTGTCTCGACGCTTGGTTGAGGAACGGCGACTGGGGCAGGAGGCGGCGCAGGTTGCTGGGCGGCAGCTGGCTTCGCTGGGGTGTCATCATCGTAGCTGTGGCACGTATCAGCATGTCTTTCAAGGTGACAGACAACACTTGTAATTACTCACAGATCGGCGAAGAGGTCTTCCTCGAAATTTTCGGGCTCGGTCATCCTGGCGAGTGCTCAGTAAGTGTCGAGGATGCTTTAATCGGTGAGGCGATGCAGGCGAAGGCGAAAGGAAATGGAGAGTAAAGAACGTGTTGTGTTGTTGCGGAGAAGTTGATGGGACAAGGTCGTCGTGTACGCAACAGCGCTTGTTTGGATATTTCTTAGGCAAGAGCCTGAGTGAAAGAGGAGGAAGGTGGAGCTAAGACTGTGGCGGAGCCAATGGGCGTGCTCAATCCAATCAGAGCTACAAAAACTGGGGGAAGGACAGAAAGGTCCAAGCATCGGCAAAGCTCGTGCGCGCTCTGCCATACGGAGTACGGACCTGCGATGTGTTGGGAAGCGCCGACTCGTCCCGTACCTGGGTGGAATGAGTCACGTGACTGGGTTGCAAGACTGGCTTGGTGCGGCATGTAATGAGATTATGAGAGTTTGGTAACCGCATCCGTACAGTTAGACCGTTCATGCAAGGTACCGCAATAGTTAGTTCTACCATTTGCAATCAGTGAAGACATCCCTTGCAAGAACCCTCTCCTTGGGAAATATTTTCTTGTGGTTTGATTAGACTTCCCCAGATTCCTTCCCGCCTCATCAATGTAGGGTGGAAGAAGCATCTGCGCTACCATTTAGACTTGCACCTCGACCGCCACATCAACGCAGTTGAAACCGCATCCTTCAGCCACAGTGACCTCCTCTCCCCCACTCCACTTCAACTGCTGCTCAAAGCGGCCTGCGGTACACTAATGTGAGGCAAGGGTCCGGCCACTGGTCACTTGTTCGGAGCTCAGGCGACTCGTCTGGCGCATCTCAACACCAAGACACACAATGACACGGTCTCAATAGAGAAGCATCACCATGTTCTCCTCTTCAGGGAGTGGGAAGAAGCCCTCGCAACAGGTATGCTCCCCCAAACCCCTGCCCGGGCCTGTCATCGCATGCTAATTGCCCCGCAGCAGGAGATGGTCCAAGTCGGTGGGTTTCGTCATATCTCTTGAACTCGAGCTGCCCGTTGCTGCATAGCCTCGGCTCTTGAGACTAAGCTCGGAAATTCTTGGCTAACTTTGATATTTCGTTGACGGTGCAGACCGCTCAGAGTACGTTGCCTTGGCTGCATCGCCGGCGCAGTTCGGAACTGACTTGGGGTAGTTCTGCATCGCCATTTTGGAAGCCGCCCCCACGCGAGAACGCATCGAAAAGAACCGGTCGCGACCCGAACCTGGTTGTCGGAGCAGCCTACTCTCATGCCGATATCCTCAAGTTCGATTCACTGTGCGGACTCTTCCCATCTTGGAGTCGCGCCGGCACCCTCAGCTAACTTGAGCCAGCAACTTGTCCAGCTCCTCCTCTAGACCGAAGACGCCTCCTTCCTCACACTCTGCCAAAGGCCGGCCTAGCGATGCCTCCCCCCCCTCGCGCCCACAATCGGGCCTGTCATCCCCTCCGATTAAAAGTTATATCAATTTCCTTTCCAACACCAACGATGATTGGAAAGCCGACGAGGATGAGGAGGACATGATGGGGTACGAGGACGATGACGGTGACGACTTCGGCCTGCCGAGCCTGTCTAATATGAAGCGACGAACACGCAAGAAAGCCGCGCAAAACAGGTCAGATCCCAACGGAGGTCTGTCGCCCTTGAACGACTCGTTCGGTTTAGGGTTACACACGAGGAGATACTCGAATAGTGCGGACATCGCGATTGAAAGACCTGCGCCAACCTATCCAATGCCGAAAAAGAGCGAGGGCAAGATCTTGCGTCCACAGTATAAAGAAATTTTGAGGGGTAAGTGGTGTCGCGTGATGTTGGAATGGACCGTGCTGACTGCGACAGACCCGGCGAACGCGCTGCACTTAATCGATCACCCAGTTATACCCGACGACGCAACGCCGAAAGAGATTGATGCTGCGAATTCACGAATTACTCGTATCAACAAGTTCAAGAAGCTCTTACAGGCGTCAACAATACCGCTACAGGAACTTCGGCAACTAGCTTGGTCCGGCGTTCCCCAGGAAGTTCGTGCTATGACATGGCAACTCCTGTTGAGCTACCTACCGACCAACAGCGAGAGGAGAGTCGCAACTCTAGAAAGGAAACGTAAAGAGTATCTCGATGGCGTCAGGCAGGCTTTCGAACGCGGCAGCAATAGTGGGGGAAGCGGCACCACCACCGCGGCACCCGGGAAAGCGAGAGGGCTAGACGAGGCAATCTGGCATCAGATCAGTATCGACGTTCCAAGAACGAATCCCCACATCGAACTTTACTCGTACGAAGCGACGCAGAGATCTCTGGAACGAATCCTGTACCTATGGGCAGTGCGACACCCTGCCAGCGGCTACGTTCAGGGCATCAATGACTTGGTAACGCCGTTTTGGCAGGTTTTCTTGAGCACATATGTCGCAGATTCCGATATTGAATCGGGCATGGACCCTGGTCAGCTGCCAAAATCGGTTCTTGACGCTGTAGAAGCAGATTCGTTCTGGTGCTTGACAAAGCTGCTAGACGGTATACAAGACCACTACATTGTGGCTCAGCCAGGCATCCAGAGGCAGGTTGCGGCTCTCCGCGATCTCACTGCCAGGATCGATGCAGGGCTGGCGAAGCACCTCGAAAAGGAGCACGTGGAGTTCATTCAATTCAGCTTCCGATGGATGAACTGTCTCTTGATGAGAGAGATAAGTGTAAGGAATACGATCAGGATGTGGGACACGTACTTGGTGAGAATATTCCATCGACGTCTGATTACTGGCACCATCTAACCACCTACAGGCCGAAGAACAAGGCTTTTCGGAGTTTCATTTATACGTGTGCGCGGCTTTCCTGGTCAAGTGGTCGGATAAGCTTGTCAAGATGGATTTTCAGGAAATAATGATGTTTTTGCAAAGCTTGCCAACAAAATCTTGGACGGAGAAGGATATTGAGCTGTTGCTGAGCGAGGCTTTCATCTGGCAGAGTCTCTTCAAAGGCTCGTCAGCTCACTTGAGAGGACAGCCAAGTCGCACGCCCTCAGCAAACATGCAGCTCTAGTTCCTTTTCCAACCAGATGTCTGCGGTTCAAGCCAGAGACTGGGCATTGTTGAGAGGAGATAGGAAAGGGGAATGACATTTAGGCGTACGGCAATTGCCAAGGCAAACATGTAATCAAGGCATTGGCAGCAACACCCTGCTGGCCTATCCCAGAATTGATCCATGGGATTAATGCAACATACAGTGCAAAGCACAGTGAAGAAGCTTACCACACACCCGCCATTTTGATTGGTTTTAACTCGTTTTACGTGCTGAACGGAAGCTATCCCTGCAGCTTCGTTCCCCAATCAACGCGCCTTCCCCAGAGCTCGCGCGTCACACCACAGACTGACAAAGGCTGCCAATTCTCTTTCCGCAATTGCCTTTCTTACCTCGTTCATCCTGTTTCTCATCGTCAACAAATCTTCTTGCTCTTTCATCCTTCCAATTATCAATCAGCAACACCAATTCAATTCCCACAATGGCCGACGCACCCGAACAGCCTACGATCGCCGCAGAGGTCCCTGTCGCAGAGGTCCCTGTCGCAGTGGCCCTCGTCGCCGAGGCCCCAGCTGTGGAGGCTGTCGCAAACCCAGAGATCAAGCAGGATGCGCTCGCGCCGACACAACAAGACACGCCAGCCACGGTCGGCGAAGAGTCTGAGGAGGACGTCAACTCCAAGAAGGTCACCCTCGCCGACTTGACTGCTAAAGGAACCGCTCTGTACGCAAAGAAGCAGTACGAGGAAGCTACCGACTGCTTTACGAAGGCTGCGGAGCTGCAAGATGAGATCAATGGCGAAATGCAACCTGCGAATGCTGAGATCCTCTTCCTCTACGGTCGCAGTGTGTTCAAGGTTGGCCAGAGCAAGAGCGACGTCCTCGGGGGCAAGGCCGCTGGTGAGAAGAAGGCGGCCAAACCCAAGTCCAAGGCCCCGAAGAAGACCACTGCCGAGCCCACGTCGACCGATGCGCCAGCCGAAACCGAGGCGCAGAGAATAACTGAGGAGGGTGTTGCGATTGTCGCAAGTGAGACGAGCGGAGCGAAGCCCGAGGAGACTGTCGAGGAGAAGAAGCCCTTGTTCCAGTTCACTGGCGACGAAAACTTCGAGGACGACTCGGATGAGGAGGAGGTAAGCTAGATTCCGTTCTGTTGGTCTCGGGCTGAACAAGTCTCGCTCTTTCATCAATGAGTTGATTGAAGACTTGCGATCCAGATCCGTCGACGACTGTCAATTAGAGCTAACCTATTATTAGGCCGAGGGTGATGAAGAAGAAGAGGAGGAAGACGACGATCTCGCTGTTGCGTTCGGCGTGCTCGACATGGCTCGCATTCTCTACAGCAGACAGCTGGAAGAGTTGGAGAAGGTGGAGCCTAATGGCAAAGCACAAGAGCAAGTCGATGGCGAGAAGCTCAGCATCAAGCATGTCAAGGAGCGCCTTGCGGATACCCATGATCTTCTTGCCGAGATTTCCCTAGAGAATGAGAGGTGAGCGCCTGCCGAGGGACCCTGCACTAAAGGCCTCTGGCGTTAACAGAAATTTAGATACCCCGACGCCATTGAGGACTCGCGCAAGTCTTTGAAGTACAAGAAGGAGCTGTACAGCGAGGATTCGGAAGTTATTGCTGAGGCGCACTTCAAGCTTTCGTTGGCGCTTGAGTTCTCCTCCGTCACAACCACTCAGGAGGAGGGTGAGCAAGGAGAGAGCAAGCCTTTCGACGAGAAGCTTCGCGAGGAGGCTGCAAATGAGCTGGAAGCAGCCATCAACAGCACCAAGCTCAAGCTCCAGAACAAGGAAGTTGAACTCGCGACCATGGCATCTCCGGAAGACAACGAGGTTACCCGGGCCACGATTACCGACGTCAAGGACATGATCGCGGATATGGAGCAGCGCGTGAGTTCCCACACTTTGTCCTCGACGGTATCTTTGCTAACCATGCACAGCTCGTGGAACTTCGTAAGCCACCAATTGACGTCAACGCTGCTCTCGGTGGTGAAGGCTTGGGCGGAATCCTTGGAGCGGCGATTGGTGAATCTGCAGCTCAAACACAAGCTCGCGTCGAGGAAGCTAAGAAGACGGCTACCGATCTTACTGGCCTTGTACGCAAGAAGGCCAAGGAGGAGCCCAAGCCCGAAGAAACCCAGGCAAACGGTGCAGAATCCAATGGCACGAAGCGCAAGGCCGAAGAGCCTGCGGAGGAAGATGACTCATCGAAAAAGACCAAGGTCGAGGAGGCCACTCAGGCCTGAATACCTAGCGAACATGTAACATTGGACATTGGCGAAAATGATCTCGAGGGCGGGGAATAAAAGGGTCTGGGGTTTCGTTTCTTTGAGGTATTCACGGCAGAACTGTACAATAGCTAGCGCTCTGGAAGGCAAAGGAGAACATCTTGCGCTTCACAAGGGTATGCAATATGACTGGGTCGCAATTGCACTAAAATTGGGTTGCATTTGACGCATCTCGTCTTCCCCTGGTGGCTGTACATTGAGTGATTGAAATGTGTCGCATGAGCGCGTAGGTAGGTCGAGGTATCGGTAAAGGCAGGCGCGAAAGACCCCTTGCGTTTGACCGCCTCAGCCCCGCCCCCGCCAAAGAACCCCACCACCATCCAGCAACGACAATTTACCACCCTCCAAAGTCGCTCCTGAGTCACCTCGAGAGAGTCACGCCGTCGCAGCTGCAAACCATCCGCAGTCTCAAGGAACGTGTAAGCTGTACTCTTCTCGGAACGCGTGTGTGGATTGCCCTTTTTAACGAGTACACTTTACTGTAGTCCGCCCCGCCATCCTCCTTTCTACCCCCACCAAAAGCTACAATCATGCTCGACCTTCAAGATTTCATCAAGGAGCGCGGTGGTGACCCCGAGAAGATCCGCGACTCCCAGCGCCGTCGCCATGCACCCGTCGAGATCGTCGACGAGGTTATCGCTCTGTGGGATGGTACGAACTTCCAATCCATCCAGGCCTTGTGCCCATAGCTGCACGCACATGGGAGGAAGGACAATGTGGGCTAACACGAACGTCTCCGGAGCCGAATAGACCACCGCAAGACCCAATACTCTGCGACGCAGATCGGAAGCGAGATCAACGCCGTGCAGAAGGAGATTGGCATGAAGAAGAAGAACAAGGAGAACGCCGACGACCTGCTCAAGAAGAAGGAGGATCTCCAGAAGCAGAAGAAGGACAAGGAGGATGAGGCGACAGCGAAGCTCGTCACGCTCAACGCCAAGGCCAAGAGCATCGGAAACTACGTTCACGAGTCCGTCCCCGTCAGCGACAACGAGGACAACAACGTCACGGAGCGCGAATGGAAGCCCGAGGCCGGACTCGGTGCCAAGACTGAGCAGACGCTTAGCCACCACCAGATTGTTACCAGACTCGCAGGCTACGACCCTGAGCGTGCTATCAAGCTTGTCGGTCACAGAGGATACTGCTTGACCGGCTACGGACTGTTCCTGTACGTTCTTGGTCAGAGGAGAAGAAAGGGTGAAGCATGCGGTAGGAATAGGAAAGCTGACCCCCGCGAACAGGAACCAGGCGCTCATCAACTACGGTCTTGAGTTCCTCTTCAACAAGGGATACACCCCTAACCAGCCTCCCTTCTTTATGAACCGCAACCAGATGGCCAAGACCGCCCAGCTTGAGGATTTCGACGAGGAGCTGTAGGGCGGACCCCCCAATCCGAAATTCACCATTTAGTGTTCTGACAGATTCTCCAGGTACAAGGTTACGGGTGATGGTGAAGAGAAGTACCTCATTGCTACCAGTGAGCAGCCCCTCTCCGCACTTCACAGCGAGGAGTGGATCCAGGGCGGTCAGCTGCCCATCAAGTACGCCGGTTACAGCACATGTTTCCGCAAGGAGGCCGGCAAGCAGTACGTTCGAAACCCCGCCAGATGACGCTCTTATCCCCCTCTGTAGACTTTGACTGACATGATATACCTGTATAGCGGCAAGGAGGCCTGGGGCCTGTTCCGTGTGCACCAGTTCGAGAAGATTGAGCAGTTCATCTTCTGCAAGCCCGAAGACAGCTGGAAGCACTTTGACGAGATGATTGCCGCTTCTGAGGAGTTCTACAAGAGCCTGGGTCTTCCCTACCGGTAGGCTACACAAGCAAGAGGCCTGGAACTTGAGACTGACTTACAAACACAGGGTTGTTTCCATCGTCTCTGGTGCTCTGTAAGTAGCCCTTGGAGCTTAATTGTGGAGTGATTACTGACAGAATCAGGAACAACGCCGCCGCGAAGAAGTATGATTTGGAGGCTTGGTTCCCCTTCCAGCAGGAGTACAAGGAGCTCGTGTCCTGCTCCAACTGTAAGATCAAATTTCTTCGCAGACTACAGTTCAGCAATGCTCACATCTAGGATAGGCACGGACTACCAGACCCGCGAGCTCGAGGTTCGTTACGGTGTCAAGAAGGCCAAGGAGGTGAGTTCCATCACAAAAGCTATAGTCATTCTCTTAAATCCGAGATTTGCTGACATTTTGCCCCACATAGGCCCCTGGTGGTGGCCGCAAGGAGTACGTCCACGCTCTCAACGCTGTGAGTTGTCCCCTCATTGCCACTTTTGGTGTTGTGTACGTGATGTTCATGCTGACCAAATCACAGACCCTCTGCGCTACCGAGCGAACCCTCTGCTGCATCATGGAGAACTACCAGACGCCCGATGGCTTCAAGGTCCCCGAAGTGTTGCGCAAGTACATTCCCGGTCGGCCCGAGTTCCTGCCCTACGTGGCCGAGCTCCCCAAGGAGATCACTGTCGTTGCTGGCCAGAAGAAGAAATAGATCACGCCACTGCGTGCGATCGTGGAGGTAGATGGTGGAGAATGAAGAGGAAGGACGCTTAGTGTTTGGTGATGAACTCATGTCCAGACTATGATCGCCAGAGAGATCTCAATGGCGGCCGGTCGAGGAACAAATTGGTGAGACAAAACTTTGAAGATACACCCAGACAAATAAATCTGCCCTGTAACGATTTCGCCGACCAATGACGAATTGGAGAGCATTGCATCTTGTGGCACATTGGTTATTGCGTTGATAATTTGAGCGAGCTAGAATGCCTTTCCCACTTAACCGCCTAGTATACATAAGCCAACTGCCTTAATACAGGAATAAACCATTTCTCATCGAGCTTATAACGAAAACCTATGTCCGCAATAGACGGCATGTTGTTCTCTCTATTCGTTCTTCTAATTCAGGACTATATTGCGCTAGAACTTTGACTACAACCTCAAGAGCTTTAGCTCCCGCAAGTTCGCCCTGGTCCACAAGCGGGCTCTCCTTAATTCTATCCCCGGCCTAGAAACAGCAGTCGATTGGGCCAGGGAAATAAGATCTACCAAATACGAGAAGACCCCGCCCTTTCCGTTATGACCCACAACCGGCTATCTCGGTGTCGTATTGACGAAGACCCATGACAGTCGGACTTTGAACTCTTAAAATCACAGCAAAGTCGCACAATGGATACGCTTCGGGGCAGGCTAGGCTTCAGAGTCTTTCTTAGACTTTTCTGTTCGAAGGGAAGCTGCCCAATCGTCTAGTCGACGATGCGTCTCGTCGCCCACTTCGCCGCGGCAGCGGCTTGCTGTCTTGCTGTAGCTACCTCCCAAGCAGTGCCGAAGACGTACTTTGTCGAGTTGTCCACGGATTCCACGGTCGAAGGACTCAGCATCGGTCCGCATGATCTCGCCAGCAAGGCAGCCGAAGCGTCCATTTCACTACGAGTGCGATATGAGTACACCGACAAGAGCGTCTTTTACGGAGTATCGGTCTCTCTGGACAACGACTCGGACAGTGAAAAGTTGCGAGCTCTCCCGGGTGTCCAGAATGTTGTTCCCGTCCAGAGCGTGGCGCACCCTCATCGCCCAAGCAGTAACGTGAAGAGGTCCCCTTCCAGCGGCAAAGGTCACGAAAAACACGCCACCCGCAATTATGAAAGCAGCAGAGAGCGAGCCAAATCTTCACTCTCACGGAGGGCGGACGTTGACTGGAATAGTCCTCACGCCATGACGGGCGTCGACCGCGTTCACGCAAAGGGCGTGCTCGGCGAGGGCGTACGCGTCGCCGTCATTGACACGGGAATCGATTACCTGCACCCGGCCCTGGGAGGTTGCTTCGGAAAAGGCTGCAAGGTCGAGTTCGGCTACGACTTTGTCGGTGACGACTACGGGTTCAGCAACTCCACCCCGAACCCGGGCCCGGATCCGAGACCGGGCTGCTTTGACAGCTTCCACGGCACCCACGTGGCGGGCATCATCGGTATGGAGGTTTCCTCCAACGCCTCCGTGTTTCCCGGTCTCGTTGGCGTTGCTCCCAGGGCGACGCTGGGCATGTACCGCGTCTTTGGGTGCGATGGGAGCGCGTCGGACGATGCTATTGTTGCGGCTATGCAGAGGGCCGTTGAGGAGGGTGCTCACGTTGTGAGTATCTCGATTGGAGAGTTTGGGACTTGGTCGGGCTATCCCAGGTCGATTCTCCCTGCTGCGGTGGCCGCGCTGAGGGCGAAAGGTGTAGCTGTTGTCGCTGCTGCTGGCAACTCTGGTACGCAAGGCATGTTTTCCATCAACTTGCCGGGCGGAGCGGATGACGGGCTCGGCGTTGCGTCTGTGGAGAATGCAAAGTTTCCAACGTACCCGATCCGTGACTCGAACGGTGCCGAGTTCCGCTACGGAGCGCTGTATTCCTTCCCGGAGGGGGAGTATCCCGTTGCTTGGGCCGGGAGAAATACGTCCACGTACAAGTTTGGCTGCTCGGCTTCCGACTATCCGCCAGCTAGTAGTCTTCAGGGGCCAATCTCCGACTATATTGTCGCCGTCAAGAGAGGGCCTTCGTGTTCGCCGACGCAGGTCCAGACATATGCCTCTGCGGCAAACTTCACTCGTGTCATTACGTACCCGGATCCTACCATCGATGATGTCTTCATTGAAGGCCACGCTGTGCCAACACCGTCTCTTACTGCAGATGGGTATGTCTACTCCATGGGCAGCGTTATCGATGAGACGCTCTCGAATGCGGCCAAGAGCACCGGACAGTACAAGTTGCTTGTTGAGTCCCAGACACCTCTTCTGGTAGATCAACTAGGCGGTGGATCTCCAAACAACTTTAGTAGTCTCGGTATGTCTCGCTATTATCGCAATTAGCTCTTCTTGATGTATTGACTGACAGCCACCTAGGACCCAACGCCGACTTTGCGTTCAAGCCCCAGGTTGCCGCCCCAGGCGGAGCGATCCTAGCCACGTTCCCGCTCATGGAGAATAGCGGCGGTTTCGGCATCATCAGCGGCACGTCCATGGCGACGCCTTACATCTCTGGTGTATATGCTCTGATCAAGTCACAAAATCCCGACTTGTCTGTCGAAGAGATATTTGAGCTGATGCAAACCACTGCAAAGCAAGTCAACATGGCAGACTATGATTTGATGGCACCTGCAATCCAACAAGGCGCGGGTCTGATCCAGGCTCACAAAGCCGTGTTCCCGGGAACAGTTATATCTCCAGGGGAGTTCAAATTGGTTGATGTCGAGGAGGCTACTTTTACCATCGACAACCCGTCAGGAACCGACATCACCTACAGCTTGTCAAACGTTCCTGCTGCTGGTGCAGCGCCATTCTCAGAGGGTTCAAGCCGCACCGCGCAAGTCGGTTACATCCCTTCGTCCTTCTCAGCCAAGATCGACTTCGCGAGCGGGAGCCAAGTCACCGTCCCAGCCGGCGGCTCCGCCAACGTCACGTTCTCAATCACGCCCCCGTCCTTACCAGACGCCAGCCTCGTCCCGCTCTTCTCCGGCTTCATCGACATCTCCTCCTCCACCAACGAGACCTTCACGATCCCGTACATGGGCCCAGCCTACAACTACAGCAGCACGGCCGTCGTCGGCTTGAGGAACATCACCGCGGAGCAGCGCGTCAACGCCCTGACGCCGACGCGTGATCCTCTCTCGGCCCCGCAGGTCTTTGCCAATGGCGATAAGGCCGACATTGGCAACTACCGCGCCTTTTCGTTCCAGTACCCAGACTATCCGGTCGCGCTCTTCACCTCGCTGCAGCCGGTGCGCAAGTTCCGCTTCGATATCGTGCGCGCGAGCACGAATTTTACGCCGACGTGGTACGGCTTCGATCCCAGCGTCAAGTTCGATAACCTCACGGAGACGTCGATGAAGGAGAATGGCACGGTTGCGGGCGTGGATATACTCGGCTCCAACATGATTCAGAATGGGTGGCTGCCGCAGACGAGTTACCAGGCTGGGTGGTCGTATAGCATTCTCGATGCTACGGCTACGATAGGCTTGGGGTTGAAGAAGGGGTCGTACCGTATTTTGCTGAGATGGCTCAAATTTTACAAGGATGAGGAGGATCCTGCGTCGTGGGATAGCTGGATGAGTGGTGTTGTTGATGTTTTGGAAGATGTTTTTGAGCCGACTGTTCCGTCGTAGAATCTGGGGTTGCTGAGGTTGGTGTGCATACGGTTGCAAATGCACATTGATGTAATTCATATCTTCCACGAACTGTTGTCTCACATCATAAATATAGACGCGAATCTGGCAGGACTCAACCGAGTCCCGATACGCATGTAGGATTAAGCAGCTCTTCGGGTCCGTCTTCTATCTTTGAAGCTTTGAATAAGATTTGTTCGGTAAAACTTTGCTTTAGCATGGCTGTATTTCTCGGATGTAAGTTAGTCTCGCGGATGTAAGAGATGATGAATACCATTGGCGAATAACATAGCTAGGCTGTCACCAAAGTAACGATGCTCATGATGAAATCGGATAGAGAAACTAGCGAAGACAGCACGCCCAGCTTGCCATGGCCCGCTCCCGCTACTCAAACTCTGACCATTTCAGCAATAACTGCCATATCGTCATCCACGTATTCGAACTATTAGACTGAGCCATCCCAGCCTGCATCTGATTCCGAAAAGCTGCACTCGTTGCGCCCGCCTCCGTCGCATGCCATCCAAGTTGACTATTCCCATGCTCGTACCCATCTGTCGTGCCAGACACCACCTGTATGCCCTCAATACCTTGGTACGTGACACTCATGAATCCCGCATGCATTGCATTCATCATCTGCATATCCTGCATCTGGCGAAGCGCCTGGACCTGCAGCACAGTCTGCACCCAAACCCCGTGCCGCACCCTTGAAAACTCGATCAGCGCCTCCGCGTTACCCGCCTCGCACGCCTCGATCCACTTTTGCCGCATGCGCGGGGAGTACAGGCAGCACATCCTCTTCTCGACGACGAGGTCGTTGTTGAATTCCTTTGTCAGACTGGGAGGAGGCGGCGAGCTCTCCTGGCAGAAGGTGATGTAGCACTCGGGGCAGATTGTGCAGTCGTCCCACCCGTACCAGCGGCGGTTGTCGACGAGGTTCTCCTTGGCGCAGTGCGGGACGCCGGCGAACTTGCGCACGAAGACGGAGTAGCGGGACCAGACGCCAGTCTCGACGGCTTCGGCGTTGCGGTTCATGTGTTCGACCCATCGCGGGGCGGAGGACCGCTCGAAGCTGCAGAAGTAGGTCCCCCCTGCTTCCTCGCTCTGGGATTTCTCGTAGAATGTATCTAGTCCGAACGGTGTGATGAACGCAGCGTGACATGGTGCACAGATCCTATAGCCGTCGCAGCCGCCGCCGGTCAACGTGTACCACGTGCCGTTGATGATGCCCCGTTCGGTACACGGTGGGCAGGAGAGAATGACCTCCAGAGCACGATAGAGAACGTTGATGTCCTGAAAGTCCTTGGCGTCTGTGAGCGCGACTTCAATGGGCAAGCTGTTCATGCTGCATGTGATGGGTGTAGGTTCCGTCGTTGTATAGCCCAGTGCGGCATCCATCCAGTCCAACCCTGTGTGACTCGGCACATGTGGAATGGATTCAAAGTCCTTTTCCAGTGTCGTCAGAGCCACATGCTTCTCGTAGCACTTTTCACACATTTTGAAATCCGGATGCTGCTCGCCACGCAGTCGCATCCAGCGTCTGGACGAGGGCGATACGGGCCCCTTGTCGCATTCAGGGAGAGCAATGTGCTTCGCCGCTGCTTCTACCCACGAGTTCCAGCCGTCGGCTCCTGATTTGGAAAGTCTGACTATGGATCGACTCATGAAGGGAAGACAGACGTCGCAGGCCCAGACGGCATCAGATGCTTGGGGTGAGTCGTGCGGAACAAATTTGTCACGGAACGACGTTGCCAGCACGACATCTTGATAACAAGCCTCACAAGATACGAAGCCATCGAGTCTGTCGTCAAGCGGTTTGAACCATTTGATTCCTGCTGAGCCATCGGCGCCCGAGGCGTCTTTACAGTCCAGGACATCGAGTCGAGCGGTCATGAATTCCCGCAGAGGAGTGATATCTCTGCGCTTGAGACACTCTGGTAGCAGGAGTCTGGTGATGCGGGGAGCATTGAACCGACAACGCCCTTCCGGTTGACGGGTGCGTTTGAAAGAGTTCTCTAGGGGTGTTCGTGCAAGGCACCTCTCGTGGCAGTGTGTGCAGACGAGGAAGTTTGGTATGTCTGGTATATGATACCAGTCTGTTACATACTTGACCTCTCGGTCTGCTGGGCATTCCCAGACGACTGTGTTGGGCTCCCCATCTTCGGTGACACGGGGAACGGCTCTCTTATAATCATGGAAATCAACATCGTCAGGCGCCGGAGGGTTACTCTGGGATGAAGTGGCTTCGCGAATGCTGACATTGCCGAGCATGATGGAGATATTATCGACTGTACTGGTTGCTGGTACTTCCTCGTGAGAAACATGAGCGACCTTCTCGGCAATGTGGGGTTGAGAAGGTGGGCATTCAGCGGTATTGACTTCTATCAGCGAGGTCGAAGGATGAATAGCGCCTGCTGTAGGTCTTCCTGGCTCTTGTGTAGCTTCAATTGGGCGAGAGGTTCCTTCCTGGACATGTTGAATATACTGCTGATGCTCAGGAAGTTGCTGCGGTGTTACCACAGGCGGTATGTGAGTTGTTGGTGAAGCTGCAGATACAGTGTGTTGCTGAACGGCGGAATTGGGATTGTCATTCCCATAAAAGACGGCGCTGGGTGTCGGCATGCCAGATGAACCATCGTTCCCGGGGTTTTGTGGGATATGAGCCAGATGATGAGGAGATGAATCCTTTTGAGTCTGTTGACTATATTGATCTCGTTGCTGTGACAGCACAGCTGGACTATGAGATGGTACAGGATAGGCCTGTTCCTGAGAAGGGGTCGGGTCATAGTAAGGAGACTGTGCTGGTGGAGTTGTTAAGTTTTCTATTGGGCTCGGATGCTGGTAGTAAGATTGCTGAGTTTGATGGTATTGGACGCCGGGAGTATGAACGGGAGATGGAGACGATGGTGAAGGGGTATACGGTGAGTTGTGGTTCTGAGCGTACTGAACCTGAGGGTTGTAGGTAGGCTGAGAAGGTGTCACAGCCTGCGAGACGAATTGGGTGAACTTGGCTCTAGCTTTGCTCTTGAGTCCATGATAAGACTTGACAACTTTGTCACTGTCTGAAAACAATGAGGTTGCCTGTTGCAGAGCACTCGATAGACTAGGACTCTGGAACGATGATGGTCCTTGGTTAGGGTGCGTGTACGTTGCTGAGGGTGAGTACGGCTGGGCGTAGGGAGGCTGGCCGTTCGAATAAGAGTTCTGAGGAGTTGACTCAGGTCGGCTTACGGAGCTTGGTTGATGGTAATTGTTACTGTTGGGGGGACTCTGATGGTAAGAAGGAGCGCCGTATGTGGGCTGGTACATTTGTTGGGGATGTTGACCGCCATATTGAGGACTTTGTATAGTTTGAGCATGCTGGAATTGCCCTTGCGAATAGTCATGAGGAGGAGAAACTGCTGGTGTCGTTGTTTCTGGGCGTGGTGGTATCGGCGGCGGTGGATTCCCAGCTTGACCTGGCGGAGGTGGAAAGTATGGTTGTCTGCTGTAATCCATGTTTGTCTTTCGTTGCTCAATATCACGACTTGGGGACGATGTCGTGTTCAGCATTCAAGAACAGATTTGAGAGGGCATTGTGGGTATTTTGATATCCTTGGCTGTCTGAGACCGTTACGCTAAGAAGATCGATCAAATGTCTCGAATGCGTGACCGCTATGTTCAGCCGCAGAAGGCTCGGCATGAAGTTGCGCCGTCCTGGGCGGTTTTGGAGTGAAGCTGAAAAGGAACTGCAGCACACGACACCAATCAGATGTGTCACACAAAGCCATCGCATTACTAGTGCGAATTCAAAACCTGGAGTTCGCCCAACCATGGAGATTGAGAAGTGAGAAGCTCAAAGACATCTCATTTCTGTGTCGAGAAATCTGCCTTACGATCCAGATTGTCAAATTCAAGAAAACGCCTATCATTTATTACGCTTGTCATGTGACTCTTCAACCTCCGCTTCTTATCCTCATCAACTGAATTTCCTGTGACCTCTTCAGATCCCTATGCTGGTCATGTAGTTAACCGAGAGTGAAGGATATCCATATATCTATCCTTCACGTTAACGACGTGATCCCCGAAACTAAGAGACGATATACTTCACCTTTGAATGAATCTTAGTCATAAGCAGTCACGACTTCCGCCAGCTTGACTAAACTCCGCATTTCATTTACCTACGATCGAATCACCCGACATCTCAAACCTCATTTCGCGCGGTTCCGAAGCCTCCGCTCCAAAGCGTCGAGAACTTTCAACATACAGCTCACGCGACGGCACGGATACGTCTTTCTTGTAGACATGTATCTCGTTTCCATCGTTCGCAGTGGCTATCGCTGCTGCTTCTTCCCCTCCCCCCCTCTTGTTGTTCCTCCACCGCCGCCAGAACAGGAATGCCGCTAATCCCACCACAACGAGTGTCCCAACAAATGTCGCTCCGACGGCAATACCAGCCACTGCGCCAGTCGATAGCCCATCACGGCCCAGCTCTGGTGTGCTCAATGCGCTCGACGTTGTCGTCGGGGATCCGACGGATGACGGTAATGTTGAAGATGAAAGTGCGGCGGTCGGCGAGGCTGACGACAACGCCGACGGTGAGACTGATGAGGCATCGCTACGAGTGATGTTGAAATAGTGGCACGTAACGCCGGTACCATTTTGACCGGCGGCCTGCAAGTGCAGATAGTATACGTTACTCAGATCTGGGTCGTGTGAGGACGGAAAGCCATCGAAGCTGACGCGCCATTTGAAGGTCACAGGCACGTACCTGTCCACTGTATACCGTTCCGGTTAGAATTACTTCTTGACATCGAAAGAACGTCAAGTAACGAAGAGAAGTCGGGGTCACGTCGAATTGACATTAAATCGACCTACTAATCAGAGCGGCTAAGGTCTCTAAGTTCGGAGACGTTTGAACAAGGAACAAGTCAATGAACCGGTCATCAGTGCTCCATTGGATGTCTATTATCTCGCCCAGCGCATACTGAGGATTGTTCCGAAAGTCGTATTGGGGGCCGGGAGCTGGTGGTGTATAAAAGACGGCGGACCCGGTGCAATTCCAAAAGAGGGAACTAAGAAGAAAAAGAAGAAGATGGGCAGAAGCGGTTCGCATTTTGAGGAAGGGGTTGTCACTGACGCTCACTAGCCTCAGTAGACGTGGAGAAAAGGAGAGCACAATGAAGACTCAAAAGAGCACACAGAAGGAAGAGTAGAGCGGACCAAGCATGAGCGGCATGACCACTACATATTTGAGATATACTCTAAAAGAGCCCAGGGGAGAGGGAGATTAGGCGCGGTAGGCTCCTTAAAAGATCAGGCTGGCGATAGTCGAGCCAAGGATTTTGCCGCGCTTCAAGCATATAAATCACACAATCACTTCCAACAGCCTCGTTCCACCAAGCTGCGAGAACGCGCTTGAGTCTCCAACGCCCAATAGTATGTCAAAGATCGACAACCCTGGAATAAGGTAGCAGGGCCAGCAAGCACGTTGGCGGCAACGGTACAGCCTGAAACTCCATTCCCGGCTCGCAGCAGCAGGCTCTCATGTCGTCCGCCGAAATAAACGAAAAGAAGAAAAAACCTGAAAACTGGTATTAAGCCCGAAGCCCCTGCGTCACGCCTTGCCTGCACCACGGAATCATTGGTACCTACGTTGGAGTCTTTTCTTCCTCCACTTGGGTCTGTAATCTGAAGAGGGTTTTGGTTTGAGCATTAAGCAGCTTGGCAAGTAAACTTGAAGGCAGTGAGGAATATCCAGAACGACAGAGCCGTCATCTTAACCCTTTCTACCTCACCTGAGAGGCAAGTTGATAGGCGCGTGGAGTTGGCATCTGACTCCATAGTATTTGGAATGATTCTGTCCACTCTAAATACGAAATCAAGTAAGTATGTCGGTAGGCATTCTTTTGCGCCTGTAAAGCCGGGAAAAAAACCACCACATGTCGGTAGGCCTAAGGAGGTAAGTAAGCTGCGTAGAAGAGCTGCTACCTTGCGAATATCTTTGTACATACATGTAATTACCTTATAGTAGTTTACACTATCATTTACGTATCTCTCCGAGTCAACCCTGTTACTAAGGCTCGTATGACACATATAAATCCATGAATTACTATACTCTACTCTGAAGGCTGTATAAATGTGTGTTAAAGAATAAAGAAATATCCAGATTCAGACTTCCAAACTCCCACTCCCTCTACCGCAAACCCATTGTTACCGCCTATGCACTTCCTCCTCCTCCTCAGCAGCAACCTCATCTCCATCAATCCAAATCTCATGCCCATCTCCCTCCCAAACAGCCCAACTCGCCATCACCCCCAACACCGCAACACCAGCCAACCCCCACCACACAGCACCCACCACTCCGCCCTCGAGCCCCCGTCCATAAAGCCACCCGCACAACACGGGTCCAATCGTTCTCGCCGCACTACTAACACTCTGCCCCAGCCCGTGAATCGTCCCCAGAACAGACGGATGCGGCGTACAGTTGTTAATCAAAATCGTCTGCCCCGGCAGCGCAAACGTCCGCCCCAGCACCTGGAACAGCAACACCCCGACAATAGCGAACCAAATCGCCGGCCCGCCCTTCGGCCCCGGCGGCGGCGCGGCGTCGGTGGTGGGCACGACGGCGAGGTACGGCACCAAGAAATACGTCACGGGAAAGAAATACAGAAACAGGCGCCACGCCTTCACGGTGCCGAGGTGCGCCGACAGGCGCGGGTACACGAGCAGCTGGAGGCTGATGCCGATGACGCCGAGGATGGCCATGGCCATGCCGACGGACTGCGGGGGCATGCCGAGCCCGCCGGAGAAGCGGAAGGGGAGGTGAGGGGGGGAGGCCGAGGTCGGGGTCGAGAGGAAGACGAACCAGAGGGCGTTGAAGGTGCCGACGTGGAAGGCGAGGAAGAAGTGCGCGGAGAAGGTCATGAGAACGTTGCGGGTGAAGATGCGGCGGAAGGGGAGGCGGTGGCGGTACCGGGGCCGGGGTTTTTGTTTCGGTGGTGGTGCGGATTCCGGGGAGAGTTCGACGTCGACGTCGGTTGTGCTCGCGGAGCTGGAGTGGAGGGGCGTGTAGGCTGCGTCTGCGTTGCTGTTCAAGCCTCTTCGTCGACGAGAAACGATTCGACGGACGAGGGAGGCGATGCTTGATCCTACGCGGGATCCGAGGTCCGGGCCCTCTTCGCGGAGGGCGTCGTGGGTCTCTTCGAGGCAGAGCCAGACGGAGAGGGCAGCACAGGAGAGGAAGATTGCGCTGAGCAGGTTTGGCGTCGCATAGGGGTACTTCCGGAAGAAAGCAACATCACCAAACAAGGAAGGGTAGCTCCCCGCCGGATCGGAGAGGATACCTCCCAGAATAGGCCCGATGATGACGCCAATGTTGAAGGTCATGGGCAGCAAGATGAAGGCGCGGGCCTGGAACTTCTTTTCGCGGACGATTTCGCTAATCATTGTCCGCAGGACGCCGACGTTGCCGTTTGTCGCGCCGCCTAGACAGCGGAAGAAGAGGGCCTGCGCAAAGGACTGGGAGAAGCCGAAGCCGATGCAGGAGAAACAGGTGCCGAGGAGGCCAATCATGAGGACGGTCTTGCGGCCGAAGCGCTTCGAGTCTGCGAGGCGGCCCCAGATCATGGCTGTGATGAACTGCGCTGCTGTGAAGGAGGCGTGGAGGATGCCGGCCTGGCTTGAGATTACTGAGTCGGGCAGCGTTGGGTCGAACCATTTGAGTTGGTAGAACATGTAGGACTGGAGACGGTGTTAGCGGGTTGGGGGGGGGGGGGGGTACTCTCAAGACAATCCTCTCTTTCATAAGGAATTATGTGTGATAACATTTTGGTTGTAACACGTTCTGGAACTTTGCGCCAGAGGCACTCAAATGAGACCAAAAATATACATACCTGAAGAGAAGTCTGAACAAGAGGCTCACTTAATCTTGTCATCGTGATCACGAACAATTGCTGCTTCTTTGGCAGATCGCGCCAGGCCACGGGCGGTGGCTTCTCAGGTTTCTTGACAAGAGGTAGCGGCGGAGGCTTGGGGGGCGCATTTGAGAGTGGCGCATCGGCAGCCTCCACCGCACCGTCGGTCTGGCCCAGCATCATCGGCGTGTCCTCGTCCGCATCGTCGTCTGAGTCTGAATACTCCCCTCTTTCGGTGTCGGCATCCTCATCATGGTGCTGGAGCACCAGCTCGTCCTCCGTGCGCCGCGGCGGCATTGTGCAGGGGCCCCGGTGCCAAGGTTTTGGTATTGAGGTCACAGTCCACCGTTGAAGGATGACAGGGAATAACTGAGGGTGTATCTCGTGGGCCGTCACGAGTGAGTATACACGTGTCTACGTCAGAGATGTAGTGACGGAAGTCTTGTATTCTACAAGTTTGGACGCTTGCGAGGCACACCGGAAAAGGAACTGAACATACAACCTATCCGGCCAAGGATGAGTGGAGGAAATAATGCTGACAATAGGTTGTTCAAGAGATGAAGTTGGAAAAAGCTGGGCCCAAGTACAAAAGATCAAATAGACGTCGGGGAAACTCCGCCCAGGCCGGCACGGGATCGAGCCGTGCGGCAACAGGCGAGCGCAAGAAAAAAAAGAAACGGAAACAAGTTGCCGCCACTTATCCTCACAAGGGCAAGCATGTAACAAGAGTCAGCCGCTACTGTTCAGAAAGTCTGGCTCGGCGCGCCAATTGATACACACACTTTATAAGTTCTTGGCATGTCGCGTGTCATGAATGGTCGCGGCTAAGGTACTTAGTTGACCGCTTCACGCGGGTACGTCACGACGGTGAAAAGTCGCAACTTGGCCGAGCACTCAACGGCCGATCCCGGCGCCGGGGAGCCGGGGCGTACCCGCAATTTCTTTTTCCAAGACCGAACCGTTGATGTTGAACGGCGCGCCGGATCCCGTGCGTTAGAGTTACCGTTGCGGAGCTTCTTGGCGTTTCTCCCTCCGGCCAGGCCTGACGGATAACATTCTGTTTGTTCAATTCAAAAGCAAGCGGGATCTGAATCTCTCACCACTCAATAGCAAAGCAAACAAGGAAGACTCGATGGAGAAAGAACTTTGGCAACTTCAGGTGACTGACCCACCGCCGGTCAAACGACGAATGTCGCAATCTGCCGATTCGGTGCCGAAGACCATCGCGCCGTCCGGTCTCGCTCAGCACTACGACTAGCAACCGCATTATTAGTCTAAAACTACTCTTGTTAGCCATCCCGATATCTTTGGGATGAGCAGGCAGTCGTTCATCGAATCATGCATCTTTTGGTATGACACTAGATGTGGGAAATACATTAAATATACAGCTAAATCATAGCATCGAAGCAGAGGGCCATCCGCAAGGACTACCCAGCATTCATTTTCCATTCACTTTCGTTTCCCTGTCCCACACAACGCCAAAAAATGCAGACAAGTTCCATGTCAAAGTCGGAGTGACACCGAGCCAGTGGTTTACACCATCTCGCGCGGTTGGTGCGCAGAACCCAAGTCGTTGTTCCGGTAGTCGCGGCTACCGCTCCTCTCTTTTGTCGGTTGCGTGGGATCTGCCACCATGCTTGTCAGACCGACGCTTTGGTGTTGATGAGAAGGCGGCTGGTAGGCAGGAGGAGCGGCACCGGTGTATGCGTAACCGCCTTGCGGAGGTGCTTGTCTCCAAGGCTCCGGATTGTACCCGCCCGTTCCTTGGTTGCCGAACTTAGCGGGCAGCCGGCCGCGGACCCACTTGCCTCCGAAGGTGAAGAACAGCGAGACCAGAAGCATGAGGATGATGAATGCAGCGAGGAAGTAATTGAATCGGCGGTTCAAGGCAAAGGAGAAGCCCCTGCACATATTAGCATATTGTAAGGACTATTGAAGGACGTTGGACCTACAAGAATGCGTTGAAAGTGCCAAGAGCAATCGTGATGCGACCGAGCCATTGGTGAACAACCTTGTATGGTGTGTCGCGCTGCGTCTTCTTGTACTTCTGGTGATGCAGAAAGCCAATGGCGAATTGACCCAAGAGGAAGCCAACCACGATGAAGCCGATGATCTGATGTGCTGACTTGAAACCACGAGACTATCCTCCACATTAGCATCAACGCCTCTTCAATCCAAGTTTACGGGGACTTACACGTGAGTACCAGAAGCTGGTCAGGACACCGAGCACGAATCCAATGAGGACGATAACCAGAGCAACACCTTGGTTGAGGGCGTGCCACCTAACCATGTTTCCAAAACGAAGAAGGATGGCGCCAAATGGAATGAGGAAGACTAAGGAGCCCACCATCAGAACCGCATGGAAGATGGACTTGTAGTCTCTCCGGCCATCGTTGGCAGAGACTTGCGTTGTGCCCTCATTGACGGAGCTGTCCTTGAGCACGGGCGCGTCGCCGGGGCCAACTGTGCGCTTCATGTTGAGTGTGAAGCGGCCAAACTCCTCGTGGAACTTGACAGACGTGTCCTGCTTATTCGAGAAGAAGCTTCCCTTGGGCCCAACAGCATAAATGGCCTTTTGGTTCTCGTTCGAGACATCGATCCATCCTCCCACCCAGCTCCTGCAGTGGGCAGTGCATCGCGCACTGAAGTACATGGAATTATTGAACACACCCGTCCCGGCAAGAACGTCCCACTGCATATTATTGTAGTACGTCGGCTCGTAGTTTCCGTAAGCTATGCGAGGTGAGAAGGTGACATTGTTGCCCGTCTCGTCGCGATAGATCATGAAGATCAAGCTACCGGCCATTTGATCCTGGCCGATGCCAATAGCGGCCCATGTGCGGTCGATGGGGGCCCGCATCGTGAAGAAGATGTCCTCGCCGCTGTTTTCGGGGACGGTGAAGCCAAAGGCGACATTGTTTTCCGGGGCGACAAAGGTCGATTGGCCGAGATCATCGTCTTTTGAGCTTTGTGCAAATGTGCATGTCGCAAACGCGGCTACGAGAAAAGTCCATGTCAGTGTCGGGTTCCTGCTAGGTTGACGAGGATGGCGATGAATTGTCCAGGATGTCTAATCAATGTGTATGTCTGTGCCTCTGAAAGAAGGAATCTCTGTTGGATTGAAGCTGAAGGATGACGCCCACCCTCGTTGCTGGACTGGGTCGCCAATGGGGAAACGCGCAAATAAGCAGCTAGGAAACTAACCTGCAGCAAGGGCAGCGCGCCCAAGTGTAGAAAACAACATCGTCGCAAGTCAGTCTGTGGTCGTGGCGGCCGTGGCGCCTGTCGATTATGCGAAAACAGTCGTGAACGAGGTTCGACGTGATGTTTCAACTGGAAGGAGGGAAGAGAGAAAGGAAAAGGAAAGGTTACGAGAAATGATAGCGTCGTCGCCCAAGGGGTAATAGAGGGAGAAATCAGGAAACGCAGATTAAGTGCTGTTTTGGGCGAAGGCAGTCTGTCTGAAAGCAAAATAAGGTACTTGGCAGACGATACACGCGCCTGCGTCAAAATGGCCCGTCTTGGCAAATGAAGATGTATCTTTTTTTCTTCACTCAATAGGTAATTAGGTGTGTCCCTTCCATCGAAAGTAAGTAGGTCTTTTCCACCTTCTTTAGAGAAAGACAGAGCAAGGTAAGGTACCTTCCGGAGGGATGAGTAAGGTTGCCCGCTGTCCGTTCCCCGGTTCCCTTCCATCTTCCCGCCCGCCGGCCTCCCACCTCGTACCTTTTCTTCCTCTCCCTCTTTCTCTGCTGCTCAGTGTGGTTTCTTCCCACCCAAAGCAGCCGTCTCACCCGCCTACTTACGGTTCTATTGCTACTTTATGCTTGATTAAAGCTGGGCAATTTCATCACCAGCAACACCCCGGCAACCATTTGGCAGATCAGGCACAGCGGAGCACCCAGCATCAACTAGGGCCGTCGCGAGTGGTCGCCATTTGGTCCATCCACAGGCCTCCAGGGGCAGCTAACAAGGCCACCTCCTGCCTCTGACCCAATCAGATCATGTCTTTTACAGAAAGTACGGAGTCCCCTTTGTTCCCCTGCTCCTGCACCGTTACGTCTTACTCGGGGCTGGATTTTAGCTTTGGGGATATCCCCGCGCCCCACCTAGTCCCTCAGACCTTCACCATTGGACAGCATGCAACTGCGCCTCTGTTTACCGACACCGAACACCTCGCAGAATTCCCACCGAGTTTCCCCCCTTTTTTCTCTCGTCTATCGACATTCGTCATTCTCCCTCGCTTGACTGCGGAGAAAAGAACGACCAGAAGACAGGGCGATTGGCAGCAGGGAGCGATAGGCAGCAGGGAGCGAATTATCGGAATGTCATTCCAGCCCCCTGGCTCGAAACATTCTCCAGCATCTCCAGAATCTCCAGATATTTTCTTCTCCAGCCACTAGGACCCTGGCCTGGATCTGTCTTTTCTCGCCTGTCACCAACAAGAGGCCCTCGCAGTTGACATGTTGACTGATACTGCCCGATGCTCCCAAGATAACGAGCGGCGTGTCTGGGCCAAAGCCATTGAGAGCATTGTCAGCGCACTGATTGGCCGTCGTCCCATCTGCTTCAATGCTGTATGGTTAACAGCCTCGTCTTTTCCCTCCACGACCAATCAATACCCAGCTTGACACCACCTCCAGGTGCAAACTCGTCTCGACTCTTGACAGCGACAGCACACGTCCATGCTTCCAGCAAGCTTAAGCTTTTCGTTTTCGAGAGCGGCACTTCTAAGGTTCAAGTTATGAGAGCTTGCGTGGCTGCTTCCCAAATAGCTTCACGATACGAGATGCCAAAACTCTGACATGTGGGACGCTTACGGCATTGCGGTAAAGACTGACTGTATTTTTTGTAATGATATAGGTACTATCTCAAATCATCAACGCAACTTTCAGTGATCGGACGAGGTAATCGTGTCCTTATCGACCCCCCAAATTGGAAAAAAAGCAAAGCGACAATTCAAAGGAGGGCCAGGTGGCATGGCAAAGAATGGAAAATTCATTGGCAGTCCGGCGACGCATCAGAACAGCTTGTGTTCGAGCGTCATCTCAGACTCGGGCTCCAGACCGACACAAGCGCGGAAGATGTTAGTCAGCGCGGCACGCTGCTTGCTCAACGCGTTGATGACGGGGGTCCCCGGCGGGGTCAGAGGCGCCTTGAGCATGTAGCTCAAGATGCTCAGCACGCTGTGGAAGCCCTTGAAGTCCTTGATCGCGACACCATCCGACGAAGAAGCCTTCCACTGGATGCGCGTCATCATTTCGGCTACGAGCACGAGGTCGATGATGAGCGGCGATGCCAGCAGCGAGTCTTCGCACACGTTGAAGAGCGAGATGGTCTGGTGACCGCCCATGAAGATCTCGGCGTAGTACTCGTCGAGAGCGCGCTTGTTGTCGCCCACGGCCGGCATGTACTTGATGACGACGGTGTGGTCGGGATGCTCGCCTTCCTTGTACAGCACCGTGTTGGCCTCGACCATGTCGTCCACCACATTGGACTTGCTAATCTCCTTGGACCGGAACTGCTTGTGCGAGCTGAGGTTCTTGCCGTCGTTGTTGCCCAGGTGGTTGTAGCTCGCAATGGAAGTCAGCTTGATACCCGCGTTGATGAGGAAGTCGACAAGTGCCGACTTCATCTTGGTCTGACCCGACTTGAAGTCGTCGCCGCCGATGAAAGACCCGTGCTTCTCGGCCAGCTCGATGGCGCCGGGGACGAAGGTGTTCTGCGGGGAGCCGTTGATGAAGGGAACACCCTCAAGCGTGCAGGCGACAGAGAAGACGGTCGAGGGTGAGACCTCCTCGTGACCCTCTTCAATGGCCTTGAGCAGGTTTTCGGCGGTGTCGTTGACGCCCGGGATGATGTCGGCGTATCGCTCCGTGTTTGCGGTCCACTGCACAATGACCTTGTCGAGACCGTTTGCCTCTTTGAAGTCGCTATCCTCACAGTCAGCACCAACACCACCACCAGCAACCAACAATGTCACTTGATAGCCCGCAGAGAAATTTCTTACCGAATGTCCTTGCGAATCTGCTCAACGTGAGCCATGGAGGCCTTGCTTCCGGGAATCAAATTATCGGCCCTGTCCTCCTGGTTGGCAGCGATGAAGTCAGGGTAGTAGATACTTGGAAGCGGGACCATCTCAGCCATCTCCTTCTTGACCTGCATCTTCAACGTTGGCTCCAGCACCTGGGCGCGGTCCATGGCGTCGGCCAAGCTCATCTTGCTGATGTCCCAACCGCCAATGGCCAGGTCGTTGGGGTGGACCATGGGAAGCAGGTCGTGGAAGGGGATATTGACGTCCTTTGCCGTCTCGGCGTCGGTGCCCAGCTTGACGGTGGACCCCATGATGACGGAGCCGTAGTAGTTTGCGGCGCGGGGCCCCTCGCGGGTATCCCACTCAAGGCCGCGGCGGTTGGCGAGGATGCCGGCGGTGACGGTGGTGCCGTTGTTGCCGCCCCAGCCGACGAGCATCATGCCTACTTTGGGGACCTTGCGGTCCGTCTTGAACTCGTAGAGCGTGGTGGTGGGCTTGGCGACGTACTTGCCGGTGGCGGCGTCCCGGGTGACCTTTGTGGTGCGGTAGGTGTACTTTGAGAGGATCTCGTTGTCGTTGTAGACGACGTTGGGGGAGTCGACGGTGAAGAGCTCGCGGTCGTGCTGGGGGTGGTGGGCAAGGTTAGTAGTCACGGCGCCGTTGCCGTTGGTTGGTCCATCTCCGTGCGCGGAGCCCGAGTCTGCCTCTGCATGGGGAGCCATGGTGATTGAGAGGTAGATTCTTGTTCAGTGTTCAGGCGGTAGTTTGGTTTTTGTTCTCGTTGAAGAGAAGGGCCTTTAGAGATCAAAGGCCGAGTCCGCTGAAGCCCCGGGGGCGGCTGAGCAGCGGGCTCCTGCGTACGGGTGATGGACCCTAGACATTGTGGTTAGCAAACGTTTTGTATGAAATGGGTTACGAGAGGTGTTGTCGTGGACAATGAGATTTGATGAGTGACTGAGTGAGTGAGTGAGGCTATACTTACGAGTTGAGGAGGTTGGAAAACGTCTTGACGACGGGGGTGACCGCGACTCGTAAGCGCGATCAGACGATTGGTGAGGGTTTTGGTGTAGGTGGTGGTTTTTGGTTGAAAGGCTTTGGGATCCTGGTGAGACTATTCTCTGTGATTTGTGGTTATGGGATGAAGAGAGAAAGAAGAAGAGAAGAGAAGACGTTCGGGAGACGCGGGTAAGGTGCGGTAGGTATATAGCTCGGTAGGCTGCGGGAGATACAAGATGGTTCGTCTAAAGCTACCTGCGGTGCTTAGATTAGGCCAAGGAGCTATCCGGGACGCCGGCGGAAGGATGAGGAACGGGGGCCGCCTGGCGCTACGTCGTCCGTTGTTGGGAGGGGCGGTGAGACGGGCGGACGGACGGGGTTGAACAATGACAGGCCACCTAGGGACAGCTCTGGTGGAGCTATCTGTGGGTGACAGGAGCACCTCAGTCTTTGGGCAAACGGTTACGGGAACGGCGCGTTTTTTTCGGGTTGAAGAGGGATTACGTTGGGTAGGTCTGCATGGATGAGCCGTCTTGGGATGCGGGATAAAGCGCAGGATATCGCCTGGCGCGGGATAACGTAGACAGATGGACAGACGAACCAACCGGTGTGATGTTTGTGAGAGGGCTTGTACGAGGCCAAGTGTCTGTGATACAGATAAGCTCTGCAGAAGGTTATGCATTAGGCTTATCTTGTCTCTATCTCTTTCTCTATCTGTCCTCTTGTGTGCCTGTGTACACATCCGATGAACCGCATGGCGCGTGGTGTCTTTTTCGTGGTTGGTTTTCACATGCCATGCCGCTTTGGTACACCCGGGACGCAACTTTGTTGCGAGGTAAGACTGTCCAAGTGAACCATGGCGAGAAGACTGACAATTCTGTCTCACCCAGGCTTGAAAGTCCAAACCACATTTATTCTACTACCTGGATCTTTCAACGGTATCGTTCCGCGCAAAAAGCTATCCATAAAGGTGTCCAAAAAAGCTGCGTCGTCGCCCAGGAACCCGACCTAGTGGGATGGCGGGGCACTCAGTTGTCTCCTCCCAGCTGCCCCTCCCCCTCCCCCTCCACCGCCCCCAATCGTTCTGATGTGGACAGTGGGCACGCGCAAGCGAGGGGACGCCTGAACCGGCTACCGAAGGAGGGATGGAGGGGCATCGACCTTCTAATTGGCTCCGAGTCCGTGCCACAAGCGTGATTTCCCCCCGGCGACCTCGGAGCGGATTCTTCGGCTGAATGCGGGGCCCCGTTGTGGGAGGTTGGAGAACCAAGGTATCTGAGCTGGTTCTTGTTCTGAAAGCTCACAATACTTTGGCTTCACCAGTCCATGTTTTCTCAACAAAGAGGTACCTAGCCAATAGTTACAGCAGTGAGACGTAATCCAACCGCGTATCGATGAACCCACCCGTTCGACATCCGCTTCTCCCCTGCCTTCAGTCTGCCCACCACAGAGTACCAGACATCCCGCCGATGGCCCCCCTCGCTACCACCCTCCATCTCGGCTAGTCTTCCGCTGGGCTGATTGCTGTTCGCGCGTGTTCCACTGTTCATCTTCAACCGCATGAATCCCGCATGAGCGTGCCTGCAGGAAGCGCCAGGGTTTCGAGAAGAGCTGTACGGATACACGCCAGCTGCCCTACTACAGGACACCATACACCTACGCTAACGGGCTTCACTTGCGCGTATAGCGTGTTTGTCCCGTGTAAGGATATTCCAGCAAATAGTTTCGTTCCCTCGCACTTTCATCCTCCCGAATAACGAGCGACCCCATCTCGGCCGAGGGACTTAGGCGGGAGGGAGTGTTCTTGACCGCTACTGTTGGGATTTGATCCTTGCCAGCGTGATTGTCCTTGATTGGGTTTGCTAGTGAGATTACACAATGCCATGCGTGTTTCTCTCGGGGTTTGCGCTGTAGGTATCTAAGGATCTTTGTCTAGACTCCAGTCAGATAGACAGATATAGCTGGGAACGAGAAGCAGCCGAAAACATCCGCGTCTTCCGAATGATCTAGACTCGGGCACTTGCGTTCAGGCATTCTAGCAGTAGGCTAGCAAAAGCGTCGTTGAATTACCCTTCTTGGCGAGCTCACGGAGTGTCGGCGTAGGTCATCTTGCCGTTCCGTCCCTGCCGGGATCCCCTTTTACGGAATGGAAACGTCAAAAGGGAACCGCCGAAACCGCGATTTTTCGGCTTGCGGAACCTCGGCCCGAGCAGGCTTCTCTTCAACACCTACTGTAGTCCTTATCGACTTGCTGTCAGTACCCGTAGATAATCATCATCTTGTTCCGCGATAGTATCAGCGGCAAATGCGATTTTGCGCCGCTCCTTCCTTTGACCGGATTGAATGAATATGGTATATGGATAGCGTGAGCTTAGAGACTTTGAGCCTGGAATCCTCGATCCTCGACGTGTTCGACTCCGCGACCTGGGGTTACAGAGTCGAATGTACGCAGGAGACCGTGCTTGGATGAGGCATGTCTGGTATTTTATGACCGTGGCCAGGCAGCCATGAATCTCAAAGCATACCTGGCATGTCGAGGACTTCCTGTACAGGCCAACCCGCATGTGGGCGGAATTCTTGTAAGAACGCAGCGAGGCTGTCTCCCTTACAGCAATGATCTCGCCCGACCTCCCCATTCAGATAGATATACTAGGCAAACTACCTCATCATTTTTGCGATACTGCATTATCAATGAAAGTCGAAACCGTCGCTTGGAACCTTGCCTTAGACTGAGAGGGGGCGACAATGAGTATGAAGTGGTTTCTCAGCCCAAAAGGATAGGCGAATAGCTATATCTACCATGACCAACTTTGAGCGCATGAAACGTACAGGATGATTGCCCTCTTTGGCATGCTCTTAGCCCGTCATCAGCAGACGCCTGCAACTTTCTCTCGGTAAAACAGAAACAGACCAAGCCCGGTGAGGCCGACTTTGCTACAAACCACTGGACATTCAGAATCCCCAAAGCTGGACAAATAAACCATGATGATTATCCATCTGAGCACTTTGAGAGTAACGGCAAGCAACCCTCCAGCAAGTTGCGAGTAGTGAAAAACAAGAATTCCGAAACACAGCTTACCTACCTCTTTCGCCATGATTCTTCTAAAACCAAAGCCGTTCGCCAAGAAGCTCAGCATACCTTACTTCAACCCCAGTGGATGAAGGCGGAAAAATGCAGATAGCCCGAAGAACCTCGTCTCCGGAGGAACACTTTGACACACGCATGCAGCTCTTGTCCTACTTGAATTCTACACCACGCAACGAAAACCCACCCTCAAGATCCATTCGTCACGGAAGGCAAGAGACTAAAACTCTCCGAGATCTCCGCCGGGGTGCAGAATCAACCCGACAAGCCTGGCCATATTCTCCGCAGAAAACAATTCAAATCATCAAAGCTTATCCTGTTTTTGCCCCCTTCCCCATCTCCCTTATCCCACCCACCCGGGCCCGGGGCCCCGGACCACAAACAATGTGCGGAAGCCGAGTGGGGGGTTTCTCAACGGCGGACCCGTATTTCCGAATCCGGAAAAGAAAGAGAACGGGGCTGGCAGAAATCCCATCTTGGGCGTCTCTCAAACTTCCATGAAACATCGCACCCCATCCGCTCTTTTGTAGGAAATTCGGCAGACATTTCGAATCCGCGCAGATGAACTGGATTAGAGAAGAAGAGAAAAAGGAACCCAAGGAGGTGGAACCGAACCTTGGAACTCCGAGGTAATTATCACCATTCTGGATCATTCTGGATTTCGGAAATTCTCAATCTACACACCCACAGGAACGGGACACATGTCACCCCAACTCCGCGCGGCATTCAAGAAAAAGTCAAAAGGGAAGAAGAACGAGAAGGTGGCCGCCGCTCCTGCTATGCCCGGCATTCCCGCTGACGTACACCACACCATCTTCACTAGGAGAGAAGCTTTCTTGACTTCACGCCCCCCCAACCAGCACCTTCACGTCCTAGGATTAAGTGAAGCTTTCTGAAGTTTTTGCCCGTGCTCGCCCGGAACGGGTGTGAATTTTAATCAGCGGGCGGTTCTAGAACCTCATACACCTCCCGGAATGTTGCCATACTAGATTCAATCTCTCCTCAGGACGTCAGTATTCGCAAAAGGTATCAGATTTCGCTAGAAATATCTTCCGATCATCTACGCTATCAATAATGCGTTGCAGTATCGTCAAATCTTCACAGGTCTCAACAAATCTCCAAATAGCTAATCTCTCAGACCACTCACGAGAAGACGAAAATGTGGCCAGCCATTGGAAGAGAGAAGAGAGATCCCTTTCGATGTGAGAAGGGTGCGTCTAGAAGAAAAAGAACAGCATACTTCCCAACAGCGATGACGCCAGCCCAGGCACCGCCCAGGCACGCCGCACCAAAGAGTTCAGACGAAAAGGTACGTGGAAAGTGGGAGGGCCCGCCGGGTTCGCCGAGGTCAACTCGCGCGTTTCTTTGACACGCATCTTACACATCCGAACCTCACATTGGCCACCGGGCAAACACGACGCTGAGAAGAACCGACTATCTGGAACCGGAAGCAGCTTCCTTCGTGGAAGAAATCCCCGAATCGAAATAGAATCTAATAGAGGCCAGTTGAGCCATAGTCTCTATAGGCCTCTGAGAGGGATGAGTAGCAAGCACATTCATGCTGGATAGTGTGGCGCTGCGTAAGCCAGGCCACCACTTAGCAGGATCTACGTGGGTAAAACTTGGCCTCGTACAGGCGCTTCCGCGGGAGTGCCGCAGATCCTCCCACTTCCGCCCGTCAAGCTCCACCCCGTAGCTGGCAGTGACCTTGTGAACGGAATGCTTATTTCTCGAAATCCGAGGTGCTTGCTCGTTTGGGTCCGATAGAAGAGGAAAGCCAAGATTTCCCTGTTCGGAGGCAAACACAGTCATAGTGGTAGTCGGTATTCGAGATCACAGAAACCAGTAGATGAGGAGAACAATTTTCAAGAACCACAAAGCATCGTTATTTCATCAACACTTCTATGTAGCAGGACTATAGACAAATTCCCAACGTATCCACAGGATATCATGTAAAGGATGGAATGCAATGATACAAGAGAGAGAGTGAGTAGCGGGCAATGAAGCCAGAACTCAGTCTGTTTGGACTGTTTAACCCCCCCGTTCGACGGTTGTTAGATCGCAGCACCAATGCCCCTGGCAAGGCTACTCGATAAACCCAATGCGTCGACACCGAAATATGTAGATGGCGACCTTCTTCCCTCCCTGCTGCGTAGCCGTGCGCAAATTACTTGTCCGATGCTCGGAATAAAGTGCGAAACCACTTTAGGCCTTGAAGTCGCGGGCGGAGCGGCGCTCGGAGCGCTTCTTGAGGTTGAACTCGACGGCGCGCTTGCGGGCGGCGGTGGACTGGGTGAAGGCGACGGAGCCACCGAAGGGACCGGCGAGGGCGGCGTTGCGAAGGCGAGCGACGCAGACATTGCTGGCGCCACCGACGTTGGCGTCGCAGGTCATGCCAGCGGGCATCTGGACCTTGACGGGGAAGTCCATGGTGGAGGCACCGGAGAGACCGCCGATACCGATACCGGGGACGTTCTGGGTGACCTCGGCGGTCTTGAAGGCAGCGGGGTCGGTACCGCCGGAGGTGCCGTCAATGTCGGCCTTGAGGGGGCCAGCACCGTCCTGGTTGACCTGGTGGAAGGTCATGGAGATGGTGCCGTCGTCGGCGGTGGTGGGCATGCCCTGCTGGGCGGCCATACCGGTGGCAGCCTTGACACCAGTCTCGACGGTGCCCTTGGGGGTCTTGGTGCCCTTGCCGGCCTGGCGGGCGGCGATGTTGGCGTAGCGGCGGGCGAGGTTGGCCTCGTGGATCTCACGAGCAGCCTTGGTGGCGGTTGTGTTGCCGGCGGCACCGTTCATGAAGGTTGCCATCATGGCGGCGGCATCGACGGGACCACCACCCTGGGTGCGGCCAAGAGCGGAGGCCTTGGCGGTGCCGAGCTCGCGGTCACGGATGATGGAGGTATCGGCCTCGGAGCCGCAGCGGGGAGAGGCGCAGTCACGGGGAGTGTCATCGATCACTGGAAAATGTTAGTTGAAGTTCTTCTGTCTTGATGTGGTTTGTTGACTTACAAGAGAGACCGGGAAGGTTGACGCCGTTGGCACCCTGAACACCGTCGATGACACCGTGGGCAAAGACGTTGGTGGCAGCGAAAGCCGCGAGGAGGAGAGCTGAGCCGTACTTCATTTTGGCGGTTGAAAAGATTGGTGAAAGTTGAGTAAAACTAAGAATGTGTACTATTAAAGTGTAAAAGGCCGTGTAGGAGCTCCGGGCTCGTGTCGGAAAGAAAGGCAGATGAAAGAAGGCTGAAGTGAAGATGAGATGCTGATGAGAAGGGAAAAGATGAAAGTTTGACCGGACATGCGAGTGATTCTTATACAAACTTGTCGATACTCTGGATGACAGGTCTTGGACAGTCTTGGGAGACATTTGATGGGGCTTGGCAAACTACGGGCCCATCTCCCAAGGCCAGGGATTGCGGCCGTTGCGTCGTTCTCCTGAGTGAAGCATCTTGCCGCTGACTTCTCACGAAAGATCAGTTGAAGCATTGATCTGACGACTGGACGACGCAGGCTGTGTGCACCAGCAAAGACGAGCTTCCCAAAGATGCGATTGGTTTTCGATCGTTTCGAAGGGGTTTGCGGGTCCTGAGCGATGGCCAGGCGAGGGAGAAACGCCACGCGCCAGGGAGTTACATAGACCGAGTCCAGTTTCCCTCCGGCAAAGACGGCGAGAATGGATCATGCAGGAACAAGCTATTGGTGATCTCGGACCCGATTGGTAGATCTCTGAAAATCATGGTTGTGGGGGAGCGAGGAGGCTCTCTTCAGGAGTAAGGCTAAGGAGTCTCCACGGTTGTTTGGGGCTCGGCGTCGATGAGGGCGACGATGATGTCGGACAAGGTTTAGCGGCGGGAGCGTTCCTGGGAAGGACAAGGGCCATCCCATGTCATTCTGCAAAAGATTTGAGAACGACGCTAGGATGGTGTAGATCCTCAAACGTGAGGCGTGTGAGGTCGCTGGTCCTGACCAGCGAGCTTGGGCCAGATACGCCGCTGACTGATTCTGATGGAGGTTGAGACGGGCCCAAACACCACGGAATTCGCGAGAGAAGCGTCTCCATTCGTGTTCAGGAAGCTCCGGGAGGCAAGTGGGCGCCCCTCAGGTACCCATACTCCGAGTACGGGAGAGCGTCGAGGCCATGCCACCATGCCTTGTTGGGTAAGGGCCCCGGATCTCTCGACACAGCTCGACTCACCGTGGCCGGGTTCCACTCAGAGGCGGAAGGACATATGAGGTAGAGGCTGAGAGTGCGTAGGCAGAGATTCTATCCGTACACAAGGTAGATAAGACTCCGCTTTCGTTTCGGTCTTCGAAAAGAAGACGGATAGACTTAGATTGTGGTCCCTTTCTCCATAGGGAGCTGGGTGGATGTTACTCATGGAAGCTAGATGACCTGCGCCCGAGGTGGTGGGATGTTGATCAGAGGATAGTTCACGACAAACTTCGAACCGTCATCGAAGAGACGTGAACGACGTGCCATTGTGACATTCCCAGCCGGCCGTTGACATGGCTTGGCAGGACCAGTAGGCGGGACGAAAGCTCGGCAATGGGATGCCGTCTCGACTCGAGTTGTGACAAGCCTTCGACGAGCCGATTGACAGCCCTTGGCGAAACTCTAGGCAAAGAGAGGCGCGAACTCGGACGTCGGAGGAATTCCATGTTTCGTCCACGATGCGCACGGTTGTTTTCCCCTTTGCCCTTCCCTCTCTGCTCTCTACGCAGTTTAGCCGACTGAGGGCCCCGGCAAGGTGGACAAGGTGGTGTAGTCGAACTCGACGGTGTGAGGGACTGAGGAGTGGGATCTGCCGGTAAATCCGCCGCGCAACAAAGCAAGCATAACCAAATGGGGATGACGTCGATCGGCGGATATGCTTGTTCTGAGGGCTGTGCAGGCCACCTAGCTCCCTTTTGCGACACAGGTGAGAAATCTGCAGCCTCGATGGGTCGCAATCTGAGTTTGTTTAGTTTTGGTGATCCCCAGACCTCGACCTGGTCATGGTGGGTTCCATCTCGCTTGTCTCATGAATTGTCATTGCTGCGCGCTCGTCGGGTTTGGAAGCCATGCTGATCTGTGAACTCCTTCGCCGCATCATCGCATTCTCGCTTTCGGTGTCTAGACGGTCTTTTTCATCGAAGTTCACCAGTGTTAAGGCTCCCCATCGATCAGTGCAATTCTTCCGCAATATGCGGATGAGTTTCGTCAACCAGATCGTGCTTGTTGCTTCAAACCCGGCCCGGGTTTTCAGATACACAAATCTTTCCAAGCTCGCAGTGGCAAGATGGAGAACTAGATCGTTGGGTTCAACGCGTTCGTCATGCTATACGCGTACTATGAACCCCAAAGTCCGGTTCGGCGTGCTCGACGATGATCAGGGTAGCCCAGCCAAAGATCTCACAAGGACCGGGAACAAGCGGTGACCGAGGCATTCTACCATGAAATGGACATGCTCTGGAAGACGACCGCCGGGAGCACGTTGAGGTTGTCTAGCTTCGTGCAACACACGAACGGAGCTATCGGGTAGAACGGGTCCATCGGTGGAGGCTAGCAGGACAAATAAGACGAAGGGGGCCTCCTTTGGCCATTGCTAGCATCTCATTGTCACGATCCGAGGTCTCTTTGCCTGTAAGGTTGCATGTCTTGGCTTCGTCCGAAGTACGAAGAGCACTGCGCCTCGAAATTGCTTCAATGAGACGGAGACCGAAGTGGTGAAGGGACGAATAGCGCGAATTCTGATTCAGGTGCGACGATTTCCTGACAAAAGGCGTTGAGTCTAGTGAATACCTTGGTTGAACTGAACCCTGTTCAACTTTCGGTAAGGAACCCATTCACTCAGCGCGGCATAAGGATCATCGTCCAGATCCCCTTGCTTTGGAGCATCATAGCAGAGGAAATATCGTCAAAGGTGAGCCGTGCATGCTTTTGTGTAGGCGCCTAAACGACGAACGCGTCTGGCTCGTCTCGTTGTCAACGTCTGGCCGCCAAGAGGGACGTTCTTCACAAGTTCAGACTATCGTGAAGCTAGAATCATCCCGAGATGTATGGACGTTCTTGAGCAAAGTCTCGATGCAGCCCGAATGACTGTAGACACTTGCGATTACCACTAAGCAGAAAGTATCGTGAACATGGCCACAACCTGAACATAGCCAGAGTCTGTGTAACCTCAATATCCGCAGGCGGACCAAAGCAAGAAGGTGAACCACGTGTGCGAACGAAGATGATGCCGTGATGGATTTTCAAGACCAGCAGTGACCGAGGTTGTCGAGTTTGAGGGTTGTAGCTGCAACAACGACTCTCGTGACGTTGTTCTTGGAAGAAGATCACATTGCCATAGAGGGCAGGAGGAGAGTGCAGCCACATAGAGCTGCAGATGGCCCCAGCGAATAAGGTCAGCAAGTGTGGATGCCATCTGCCCACCAAGAGTGTCTCCCCTGAACGGCCCCTGCCACTACCGGCGTTAGCGCCTTTGCACCCCCCAGTGGCCCCTTCTGCGCCTGCTGGGCCCTGATGACTTCCGCCACCCGCCCCTTTCGAAGCCTCCCGTCCCGAGACCGTCATTCGTCAACCTTCATGTTTCACTTAACGACTAGAGCAGGCCTCTTTTCTTCAATTCTTCTCACGGCAGCCAATCCACCGTCTCTAACAACAATACCCTCCAACAAGAGAGGTGTGGCGCATGAAGTTGGCAGCCATGGGCCACAAAAGACCAATCATCATTGATCGAGAAGGCCTTCGAAGCGTTGAAATGCCGGCCACGTTGACTCTATCCCGTTGCCAAGAAAACGATAACTGCTCTTCTATTGCCCTCACCATTTTTACCAAGCGTTGATAGCAAGTTCAAATGCCCATAGACTGGCTCGCATATGAGCCTGCATTCATAGCAGCCAATACTAGACTGGTCGATGGATGTGGCAAAGCTGCCCGTCTGGACAGGCATCTCAAGCCTTCGAGAACCCCTCTCCGTCTTAATCCCACCTACCTGATCTCCAGGTTTCGCCATGACCCAATCACACGAACACGAGCCGTCACTTCGACGGCAACAGTCCGCAGAAACATGGCTCTTGGGTGCCATCGCTCACATGTCGGACCGTTCCATTACGAGGGGTCATTCAGCTCTAGATCAACACGCGCTTCTAGATTCGGTCTGTTGGCCTCCCAAGGTCTTCGTCCAGAGTGTTGGCATGTGTCCGATATGACTTTTGATTCGCCAACCCGTCCGAGATGTCACTTTAAGCTATCGCCAGGCCCCTGACGGCTGAAAAGTTGCTGTGCTTGATTACCTTGATTATATACTAGCTGGAGGGAACCTCAAGAAGATGACGATCCTGATTCCTCCATCTGTATCCGTTGCTGCCATATCACTATGCGCGTTGCTTTCTTTCTGCCGGCCTTCGTAGGCGTTGTCGCCGCGGCGGCTTGTAACGGCAACGACGCTCTCTGCGCAAAGAAGTATTCCGACGTGACGTTTGTAGGATCTCACAACAGTGCCTTTGTTGGCATCACTCCGGCCCACAATCAATATGTGTCGGTAACGGACCAGCTCGATCTGGGCGTACGTTTCCTACAAGCTCAGACCCAGAACAAGGACGGACAGATCCAGATGTGCCATACGGACTGCGCTCTGTTAGACTCGGGGCCCTTGTCCAAGTATCTTGAAGAGATAGACACTTGGATGGAGGCGCATCCGCGTGAGGTGGTCACCTTGCTTCTCACGAACATTGACGCAATGCCGGTGACGCAATTTGGCGACACTTTTAAGAGTACGGGATTGGATAAGTACGTCTTCAAGCCTGGGGAGAAAGTGGCTATAGACCAGTGGCCTACACTTCAGACTTTGATTGATGACGGGACGAGACTGGTCGTTTTCATGGGTATGTCTTAAAGCATCTTTGTAACTCATCAGCACCGACTAAGTAAGACAGACTATCACGCCGACACGAGCAAAGTCGACTACATTCTCGACGAATTCCAGTACTACTGGGAAACTCCCTTTGGGGAGACGAATGCGGATTTTCCCAACTGCAACATTGACCGGCCACAGGGTGTAGATCCTAATGGCTACATGTATCTTGTAAATCATTTTCTCGACATTGAGCTCTTCGCGGGCATCAAGATCCCCAATCAAATCGAGGCGCCAAAGACGAATTCCTTGTCGTCTATCGACAAGCAGGTCAACTTGTGCAGAGGGATGTGGGGGAGGACAGCGAACGTCGTTTTGGTAAGTCTCTCTGTTTTCGGACACCGAGTTGGTCGTATTAGCACCGCGTCAATGTCTAGTTTGTGTAAGGCTGACAGAGAAAAGCTCGACTGGATCAATATCGGCGAGGCGATCAAGGCACAGAGCCAATACAACGCTTGAGAAATCACCAAATGTTTAATTGATAGGTCGGGAGTTGGGAACTTTCGTTAATGTCATAGAGTGAGCTGCTTGATTTTGGGAGCATGCAATTGTTGGTCTAAGGCTTTCGAGGGGCGAGGAGTACTCCATGTTGGCATGCTTGTCGCTGCGCCGCCTGGATTTTTACTAGAAAATTATCCTCGGAGAAGTTGAAATAATTTCGAAGGGCGCGCAAGTGTAGGAATTATTATTGGCGTAAGGTGAGGGGCGACACTCGTACCTCGAAATAGGCAACCTGACTGTCGGGAGTGAGCGAAGCCACGCTCGGTGTCCCAATCGGGCAAGTCACTTTTCTATAGCCTCAATTCAGGGCGGGACGGGGAAGCGTGACTGCACTCCTGTCGCGCCAAATCTCAGCCGCTGGGTACGCAGATCGAAGAATCCTACGGCAGCCTGCTTTCATCAGCTTGAAGTTACTCAAATACCCCACGAACTGGAGCTGATTCTCATAAGTTGAGGTTAGATAGCATGACTCTTGTCAGCGCCTCATTCACGGCTCATTCATTGCTGTCTGCTCAGTCTCGATCTTTACATTGAGCATTCCCAGTTCATCATTTACCAGCTAATCATTCAAATACATTGGCTCGTGACTCAATTGATCGACATGGAAAAAGATGGGGGATGGCTTGCCGAAGGCGCCTACGATGACTTTGTCCGGTCACTGTGTTCCTCAGACCCCCGACTTAGACAGCGTGACCCCAAGGCTCAAATTCAACGCATCCCCTTCACAGATGACGGCGTCCGGGTCGTCAAGCTCAGCCTCGGCGACGACGGCACCTTTATCAGAACAGCACAATTTGAGGAACCAGCCGACCTAGAAACACACCTCCGCAACGCTACAGCATCACAGCAAGGACAGAAGAACATATACATCCTCGAGGGCCTCGGCCCCGGATTCGCAGGTGTGTTCGGCCATCACTTCTCACTCCACCCTTCGGTATTCGTCGAGCACGAGCGCGTGGTCGTGCACAACGTAAACTGGACGGGCGAAAGCGACGGCGCGCAGCTGCCGTCGGTGGTTCGGAGCCGGGGCCACGTGGAGATGAAGTACTACGAGGTCGTGACGTTTGATACACGGCCGACGAGTTTCCGGTGGGTGTGCGCTGCGACGGGGAGGCATATCGGGGTCTCGAGGGAGTTTCGGTGGGACAATTCGCCTGACGACGAGTTTGACCGGTTTTTGAATGTGGGTGTTGTGAGGAGGAAGTGTGGTGTTTGGTCGAGGAGGACTGGGGGCGGTGGTTGGGATTGTGAGTTCTTGCCTTGTCGGATTCTTCAACTTGTACTGATGCTGATTGTGAGTAGGTCTTGTGCTTTGTGATCCTCCGGTACGAAGTGTCCGAACAGGGAATGATTACAAAATAGAGCACCCAGTCAAGACCTGGCCCTATCAGGGTGGCTACCTCGACTTCGTCCCAGAAGAATCGCAAATCAACATCGCTGGAAAAAAGGGGAACGAGCACCACCACTACGGACCCCCGCGAACTTCCATGCTCGAAGATCTCGCCTTCTATCTCGAGACACACGCGGGGCTGGTAAATACCGCAGAGCCCGAATCCGTCGTCAATGTCTTTGTGAGCAAGATTGTGGCCTCCCACCTTCTCAAGCAGACGGAACACCTGCGCGCGACGCTCTCGGCGGTGCAACGGGGTCTCACGCGCAAGCAGGACCTCGCGAAGCTGCCAATGACCAAGGTCGAGGCGCTCTGGAGCGATATGCAGGGGTGGGAGAGGCGGACGGGGGAGTATCTCGAGGACGTGGAAGGAATTATGCTGCAGCTCGGGATCCCGTTGTCGCCGACGCAGCCCCCGGCGACAGGATCCACTGCGCCGCCCATCGGTATACCGCCGCAGCCGGGGTCGGGCCTGGGACCGAAGACGGGGCCGGAGCGATCCAACGTCATCGCTTGGTCAGACAGCTCAGCAGATTTCCAGTTCCTGCACCTCCGGTTCCGGGAACTGCGTCACCGGACCGAGATGCTCAACGCGGCGGTGACGGGGCTGGCGGGCATCACGGGCAACAGGCAGGCCTATAAAGAGCAGCAGCGAAGCATCCGCGAGGCCAAGAGCACCAAGGCGGTGACGCTACTGGGGTTGGTGTTCATCCCGCTGGCGTACACTGCGTCCGTGTTTTCGATTGAGAAGCCGTTTGGGCCGGGCGGGGAGCTGTTTTGGGTGTACTTTGTGACGTCGGCGCCGTTGATTCTGGTGGTCATGGTTGGGTACTATGTGTTGGACTTTGGGTATAATGATGATGGGAGGGCGTGGTCTGTGGATACGTTTGCAAAGTCGGTTGGGGAGAGGGTGCCTGGGTTGAAGAGGAGGGATTTGGGGAGGAGGTTGGTTGGATAATGGGAAAGTAGATGTAAATGGTCGAGTGATGACCCTCAACGTAATACAAGGTCAAGAATATCATAACAACCTGTGGCTGCGACGAACTGCTGAGAGAGGGTTCAAAAAAGAGTTCGCCCCCCCGGTGCCGATTTGGGGGCTACATCTCTTGGTGCTCATGCTGAGATTCGAACTCGGGTACTCGTATACGCTAAGCCTGTCGTCGAGTAGGCTGGTTGGCGATTTGATTGTTGACCTCGAACCATTCCACCACCCAGTCAGTTTGACCTGACCCGCCGACCTAGACGGGCGCCTGCTGTTCTGGTGACAGGAACGGAGTTGAGGGGGGGTATATAGGCTTCTCGTGTAGTATTCGTGCCTGTGTATTCACAAATCTGAAGTAGACACCAAATAGGAAGCTCGTGACTCACGCTAGTTACCTTAAGCGAATCTAATGCTTCGACCTCTCCCATTGATAGGTATGTAGTGGATAGTTGTTCGCCATCTCAGTCTTCATTCACCTTATAAGTACTAAGTAGGTAACGAGATGTCACCGAAGCCATCCGCTGCGGCGCTTATCGATAAGAGCCCCGGCCGGTGTGAACTCGGGGTGGGTTCTGCGTCACTTTAGCGGTTCTTATCGGCGTGTTTAGTGGTGCCGCGTTTCGCGATAAGCTCCCGTCCCGTCTCGTCCCACAGGTAGCACGCACCAACACGTCGCGTCGGCCAGACGCGTCGAAGAGCTCTTAATTGACTTTCACTCCACTAATGCCACCACCACCCACCACCCTACACTCACCTCTACCAAAACACTCTTCACGCAATTTTGGTACCTGCAAGTACACAACACTTCAAGCAACTTCACATTAGTCTTTTCATGTTTTGATACCCGGCTTTCTGCCTTTCTATAATCATAGCCACATTCACCATGGCTTTTGAGAAGGCCGCATCGCGCTCCCCTAGCGCGAGCCCGGCGCCAGAGACGATGAAGGCACGAATGGAAGCCCGTTTGGCTGCCATTGACACCAGTTCAGAGGACGACGAACCTGAGCAGACCCGAAAGAAGAGCAAGTCACCATCACGAGCCACCCAAGCAAGTGACTCGGAAGAAGAAGTCGTCTTTCGCCCCAGAGGACGGCTCGCTGCCCAGCTAAAGGGCGGCGCCGAGCCTTCAGACGCAGAGGACGAGCCCGAGAGCTTCATGGACCGGATCCAAAGACGACTTGGCTCTAACAACGACGATGACGAAGAGGACGCGGACGCCACCATGGGGGATGCGGAAGAGGAAGACGACATCCCGGTAGCACCGCGGCGGCTGCAAAGGAAGCAGGATAGACAGACCACGCCGCCGCCACCACAGAGCCCAGCCGCACGCTCGAGTCCTGGGCTGTTCGTATCTCCGGAACGGCAGTCACCCGTCAGACCTGCGACCACGACAACAGCAGATGACGCCTCTGACTCTGACTCCCTCCCCGCAATTACAAAGAACGCCAGATTCCAAGCACTCGTCGAGCGCAAGAAACAAGAGAGACTCGCACGCGAAGCCGAGGAGGAGAAGAAGCGCGCCGAGCGAATGGAACGCGAGCCCATCAGCAACGTCGACCTCTTCGACGACGATGAGGAGGTCGGCAACGTCTCCGATATCACCGATGACGAGGGCGGCCGGAAGCTTAGCCAGGCTGTTAGGCCTACAAGGAAGGCTGGGAAGAAGGCCGTCGAGGAGATGGCTCGCGAGACCCAGCGCATGGCTCGTAACATGCAGCTTGCCCATGAGGCCAAGACGAGGAAGAAGTTCACAAAGGCGGATTTCCTCCAGCGCTTCAACTTTGGTGCTCAACCCAAGTCTAATCCCAAGTTGTCGAGCTCCAGCCGCCCTACCACACCTGTCTCAGCGCACCAGACCGACGCTGAGATGAAGGACCCCGAGACGCCGCCCAGCTCCCCGCCTGTCGCCAAGGCTGCCTCCCCTGCCAAGGTTCAAGAGCCCACGGCTGTCGCGCAGCCCGCCATTGACCCAGATGACGATGGTGACACGCTTTCCCTCGACGACGTGTTTGAGGCATCGAGAAGACTTGACAAGGGCAAGGGCAAGGCCGTTGCACCTCCTGAAGAGACTGTCGTCAAGGATGTCAAACCCAGACGTCAAGTCCGCATTAAGCTGCCCTCAGTCTCAGTAAACCATGCAGTCATCGACCTTGACGACGACGACGACGACGACGAGTTGGCCATCGCCAAAAACGGCAAATTTGACGCCATCTTTAACAGGGCACCGGGAAACAAGGCAGATTCCTCTCGATCTCTACTCAATCTGCGCCGCCTCGCTCGGGTGGGATCGCCGACCAAGGAGAGGAAGAGAAAATACGAAAAGGAAACAATCACCACGGCTCAATTGCAAATGACTCTGCAGCAGCGCGCTCGCCAACAAGCCAAGATCGAGCGCGAAAAGCGGCTCGAGTACCTCAAGTCAAAAGGCATTGTTGTGCAGACAGCCGAGGAGCGTGAACGCGAGATGCAAGAGGTCGAGGATATTGTCTCCCGCGCCAGGAGGGAAGCCGAGGAAATCATGAAGCGTGAGAGAGCAGCTGCCAAGCAGGAGAAGAAGGAGAAGAGGAAGAATGGCGAGCTCGACGTATGGGACGACAGTGACGATGAGTCCTACGACGGTTCCGAGGAGGAGGCGGAGGGGGGCGTTGAGATTGAGCTTGAGCTGTCTGGCTCTGAAGACGAGGATGTCGATGAAAATGAAGAAGATGGCTCCGAGGTGGAAATGGAAGGTGTTGCGTTGTTCGACAACGAAGCTGATGACAGCGGCTCAGAACACCCTGAGGCCGAGGTTGATGCCCAAGAAGTCGAGAATGATCCCGAATCCGAGGACGACATGGGTCTTCCCACGCGCAACATCCGACGGTCAAAGAAGAGCCAAGTCATCTCGGATGATGAAGACGAGGACAGAATCGAAGCGACGCCCAGACCCAGGACTGCAACCCAACAATCCCCTGCTGCACCCCACACCAAATCACCCGCCGTTCCCACCTCAGTACTGCGCTCTGCGAAGAAGACATTCATTCCTGGACTACCCGTCACAGGAGCCGCTGGTCTGGGTCTTACCCAGATCTTCGCTGGTACAATGGACGACAGCCAGGCAGCTCCTGGCACGATTCCCTCTCAATCACCCATGCCGGATTTCGACAGCCTTCCCGACTCCAACTTGATGGGTCTTACTCAACAAAACGATGGCATGATTCTCGACAGCCAGGGTGGCGACACTCAGAGAGCCGAGACGCAGCCGGATTCCGCAGAGGGCGTACACCTGCACTTCACTCAATCCCAAGCGCGTGGATTTGACAGCCTCTTGCGCGACGACGACCCGTTCACTCAAACTTCTATGGATGCCACTCAGGATGCAGGACCGCAAGACTACACGCCCTTGAAGCAGCGCTTCGTCGACCCGCCCCCTTCGACCGTGGATACCATGGTCCTCGACAGGGACACCGAGGTCGATTCAGTGCAGGATTCACCCCTCGTCCGCAGGGGTAAGCTGCGCCGCAAGATTGACGTCGTAGCCGCTGTCGCGGACGACGACAATGTCGAGGACTCCAGGGCCAGCCCCGAGGTAGACGAGTTCGGTTTCAAGACGACAGCCTTCAACGTCATGAAGGAGGCTGTGAAGAAGCAGAAGCAGCTCAAGAAGGCGGAGGAGTACAACCGCAAGAAGAGCAAGGCCAAGGAGATGGTGGAGGAGCAGGCCGACGAGTCCGAGGATGAGTATGCAGGACTCGGAGGTGCGGACGGCGAAGACAGCGACGATGACAGTGATGCTGCCTCCGTCAAGGAGATGATTGACGACGAGAACGGCATGACTGCTGATGATGAGCGCAAACTTGCTGCCCTTCACGCGTAAGTGATCTCTGTCTTGGCTACAGTATTCTTGGCTAACAAAATTCTTAGGGACAACGAGCGTCAGAGCGACGAGAAGATGGTCGACAAGCTCTTCCACGACATCACAACCGGTATGCTCCGCCGCAAGCGCGGCGCCGACTACGACCTCTCTGACTCTGACGATGGCGGCGAGGCCCGCCGCCGTTTGAAGCGTCGTCAGTTCCAGAAGATGCAGCAGGCTCTCTTCGCTGATGAGCGCATCAAGAAGATTGCCGAGAAACCTGGCAACCAGGCCTTCCTCCGCACCATTGAGGATCGTGGTAGCGATGAGGAGATGGACTTTCTTGACTTTGCGCCCGAGTCGACAGAGACGGAGGACTCCCAGTCTCAGGAGCAACAGCAGCAGCAAACCACCGTACCGGACAGCCAGCCTGGAGCGCAACGAGCACCTCTCGCCTCCAACGCCGCCAACGTACCGTCCACCACCAACGCGCGGAGGACAAAGGACGGCAAGAGACCCTCCAACCTGGGCGAGATTCGCGAGTCCGTCTCGAGTCTCCTCGAGGACCTGAACGAGGTGATTCCTGCCACGGACCCGCACTCGGACAGCGATGCAGACGACGAGGAGGCGCAACCCTTTAACAAGGAGAACCGCTCCCCGGGCAAGAACCCGCGCCGCACCAACTCGCGCCAGGTGGTCGTCGACCGCCTCACCATGAAGCGCCAGTCGTCCTCCAACATGTCGACCACGTCCTCCAAACTCGCCTTCGCTATGCCCAACGCGGCCGCATCGGCTTCCAGCGGTAGTAGCAGCTTCAGGGTCCCCGCACTGCTCCGGCGCGCGACGACGAACTCCTCCGTGCTGAGTTCGCAGGGTTCCGGTGGCGGTGGTATCGGCGGTGGTATTGGCGGCAGCGGAGCCAGCAGCGGGGGAGCTGCGGCTTTCTCTGCTCGTGGCGGCGGCGGCGGCGGTTTCGGTGACGATGGCAAGATCAAGAAGAATGCGAGCAAGAAGTCTGGTGTTAGTGCTTTGGCGAGAGAGAATGAGCGCCGGGCGGCAATCCAGGAGAATGAGAAGAGAAGGGAGGCGAGGAAGTGGAAGGGCGCTGAGAGGAGACACCAGGCTGTTAATGGGCTCTTTGGGTCGGGCAAGTTTGAGTGAGGAGATGGTGTTTGGTGGTGATCGTGTGTTGCAGAGCTACGGCTTGAATTGTTTGGGAGTTTGCAATGATGGGTACCGAAGATACATGACGGACTGGGTAAAAAGGCTTTGGACGGAGTTTGGAACTGCATTTGGAGTTTGGGCACGGGGTGATGATTCGGGTGTTTCATGGTTTACCGATAGGTTCACTTCAGGAGTTGCGTTATTCCAACGTATTTCAAGCAAGTTCTTTTGATCCTTGGAGATAAGCATGTGAGGTTCTAAAAAGCACATGGCTGGTAATATGTGTTTCCTGTGGTACATGAAGCAATAAAGAAGATGTTCTTCCTCTTGCCCTGTTGCTTCCCTATTCCGC